TTTGTCAATATCATTCATTAAACTTGAATTATTTGTCACCTATTACAACATATTATAACTTCAAAATTTTATGTCACAACTAGTTGTAACTAAATAATACTTATTTATTATCATTTTATAATAGTTGAGAAGTCATTTTTAATCAAGATTTTAATACTAATTCAAAATCTACATATTTGACAGGAATTGTCATATTTTGCAGAGAAGATTGATAAAGCTTATAGAAAAGTATTAATAATACTTGGATACTTAGCTTTGAAAAAATAATCTCTATCAATATTTAATAGCTTTATTCATATTAAATAATAATCAACAGATTCTAATATCTTTATTATATATTATAATTATTATCATTTATATTTGCTAGTTAATAAATAAATCATTATAATAATATAATGTAATAAATCAGCTACTATTATATTTCTAGCAAAGAATATTTATTATACTTGGAAAAGAAAGAGAATCATGAGATATCATAAATAAGTTATGATTATATGTTTAATATTATAAATATAGTCATAATTAGCTAATAATACAATAGATAAATCTCAGGGCAATAATAAAAATATGACTTTACTACGGATATATCAAAAACAAAACCTAAATTTGGGGATTGGCTAAAGTCTGGTGGATATGTAATTTTGTTATGACTGAAATCACTTTGGAAGGAATTTGATAATGCAGTCAGAAAATTGATTTTCCAACTGCATGACACATATATCAAAATAATCTTGGCTTGTTGGCTATTGCTTGCTTGCTTGCTATTGGTGCTTTATATTTGTTTAGAAAGAACTCTGGAAAGGAACTCAGATTATGTAAGTTTGTTTTTGCTGGCATGAATAAAAAAAAACTATTTACTGACAAAAACTTCTTATTTCATACTACTTTTTACTCGCTAATACATTTTTTCTTTTTATTCACTATGCACTTTTCAACTACTCACCTCATGTCTTATTTAAAATACTAAAAAAAATGCATTTTTTTTCAAGAACTAAAAAATATGACATAAAAATGAACTCTCTTATATCACCTGATCAAAAATACTTTCTTCTCTTTAATATTAATTGACCATTTAAAATCCCAATATGCAAATTTGATAATGAATAGTGATCTCTAGTCTCAAATATATAGATCAGATTTAATTATAGAATTCTCATTAATGGCAACTCATAGAGAATCTTTACGTATTGCTTTACTAAATATAATCAATCAAGTACATAAAAAGAAGGAGTTCCTAGCGAAAAATATAGAAAAATGAAAATTTGGCTGGCAGATTTGTATTCTGCGAAGATTAAAGTATCTTGATTTGTTACAGAAAAAAAAGTGCAAGTTGAATGATACAATAACTCACCTGATCATATATTTAGACCATATATATTATTTAACAAAAAAATTTATTATCTGATCTCACAATTGAGAATTCAATTAATTAAATATGAGAGTCTCAAACAGCGTGATTTTTACTAAAATAATATAATAAATTTAGTACTTGATTAATAGTGTGATTCCTATTATAATAATATAATGAATTTAGTACTCAATTAATATTATGATAAATAATTGTTTATATAAAATTAATTGTAAAATAAAAATCATATTATAATAAAATTTAAAATTAAACTTAAATAATATTAACTTAAAATAGATTCTAAACTAACTCTTAATTTTTTAATAAATATAACTGTTTGTTCAGTATCTTCTCTCTCTTCAACTCTCTAATATAGGTCACGCATTCTTTCTATCAACTTATTTACAGTCTGTCATCAACTTTTGGCTACTCTCTCAGCTTCAGTTTTCTCATATGTTACAATTTTTACTGGCTTTTGATTTCTATACATCTCAAATTCATATTCTTTGAACATTTGCTAAAATTTTCTCCAAGCACTAATAGTTAATAGTTTTCTAGCACTATACATGTGCTCATGGAAAATGTGTTGATAGGGCAATTGATATTGATGGAAGAAGAGATAATGGTAATGAGATGATAATAATCCTGATATTATTTTTTCTTTTTGTATCCTTTTTTCAATGACACAAGCTTCGTTAATGATTATTTGCTGGATGAGAAAGGGAAATTTATGAACTTCATTGAGAATTTCATGATCAATATCAATAACTGAGATTTTCTTAGTATAGAACCTGAAAGCTACATATTCTGAATCTAAATACTTCTTCACATCAAGTAAAATAATATTATGGTATGTATCTAGTAAAAAGAAGATTAAACTAGTGACACAACCTTGTAATGAACAAAAAAAGTAAATAATCATATTAAAAAGAACTTATACCTACCAACTAAACTATGCAGGAGAGATATTTTTCATTTTAATTTACTGTGATATAATTCTAATAAGTTTATGATAGTTACTTGTAAGAGAAGAGGAGAATTTTAATAGGTCTAAAGAGCTCACTGATTTGTATTACGTGCATAATATCTTGTGATATATTGCTGAATAATGGAAACTAAACAATTATTGATCACTTGTTGAACAAGCTCCTCACAACTAATTTTCATTATTTTGTACATCACTTGTATCATTTTATTACGAGTTTTTACATAATAAATTTTTTTTATTCAAGTTCTCATAATATATATGGTGCAGAAAAGAACATCATATTCTAAAGGAAAAACTATCATAATTCTGTTAGCTTTCATGTTGCTCTGGTTAGCAAGGAAGTATCAAGACTTCCAGAAGCATGTAAATCATCAAATTATTTTTAGAGCTTTCACTATTATGTTACTGTCTTTGTTATTGATGAAAAAATGGACATTCACATCCCAACACCCATACCCATTACAAATATACAAAGTAAACAAATGCCAATCATATTTGTTTATTTTATGTATAGAGTTAATCAGCGTTAATCAATCATGATGTTGAAGTTTTTTTAGTTGATTAGAATACACAAAAACAAAACCTTGAGATTGTTGAGAAGTTTGATAGTATTCAACTTGATATTCTTTTTTTTTTTAGAAAAAAAATCACTTCATTGATTTCAAGCTCAAGATTAACATTATCCAGAAGATGTGAATTATGAAATTGATGAATTTTGTATTTTATATTCGCAGCTTCCTTTAATCTCAGCTCTTTTACACTTGAACCGAGATCTAATTTTTCTGATGCATATTTCCTAATAGCACTAATGATGAATGATGATAAGTAGTTTTTAATTACTTCATTTTCAATTAAAATTTGAATAGTTTTTGATCATTTCAGTTTTTCACTCTCCTTCAATAAATATGAATGATTAGGTAAGTTATTATATCATTCAACTTGTACTTTTTTTTCAGCAATAAATCAAGTTACTTTAATCTTCGTAGAATACAAATCTGCTGACCAAATTTTTATTTTTCTACATTTTTCGTTAGGGACCTCTTCTTTTTGTGTACTTGATTGATTGTATTTAGTAAAGCAGCATGTAAAGGTTCTCCATGAGTTGCCATTAATGAGAATTCCATAATTAAATCTGATCCATATATTTGAGACTAGAGGTCATCATTCATCATCAAATTCGTGTATTGGGATTTCAAATAGCCAATTGATATTAAAGAGAAGAGAGCGTTTTTGATCAGATGATATAAGAGAGTTTATTTTCATGTCATATTTTTTAGTTCTTGAAAAAAAATGCATTTTTTTTAGTGTTTTAAATAAGACACAAGGTGAGTAGTTGAAAAGTGTATAGTGAATAAAAAGGAAAAATACATTAACAAGTAAAAAGTAATATGAAATGAGAAGTTTTTGTCAGTAAATAGTTTTTTTTTATTCATGCTAGCAAAAACAAACTTACATAGTCTGAGTTCCTTTCCAGAGTTCTTCCTAAACAAATGTAAAGCACCAATAGCAAGCAAGCAAGCAACAGCCAACAAGCCAAGATTATTTTGATATACGTGTCATGCAGTCGGAAAATCGATTTTCCGACTGCATCGCCGAATCTCTTCCGAAGTGATTTCAGCCACGACAAAATCACATGTCCACCAGGCTTTAGCCAACCCCTAAATTTGGGGTACTTGCCGATCTATCAAAAACGGAACTCCTGATATATCAAAAACGAAACTTTTGCATTACTTATCATGTATATTTTCACATGATTTGGATCCGGATTGAATCCAAAATCACATGATACCACCCGGCTTTAGTGGACCCCCACTATAGGAAACTTAGATCAAAATGATAAAACATGTGATATAACTTTTCGATTCTTTTACAATGTCGAGAACAGCACAACAAACTCCTGCCACAATAGCTTCTCTTTACGTAGCAGAAAACATTGCACACAATATCAAAACCATCACGTTTATACGATCCTCGTTATCCGCAATAACAGGTTCCGCAGCCGGAGTGCTTGGTCTAACCGGGTACAGTGGATTCCTATTCTACGCAGTCACTTCACTATTCATGTCGTTGCTTATTTGGACCGTGAAAACTAAGGCTAAACCTGCCTTGTATTTTAAGAGTGAGAGTGACGTATGGACTGAGGGCGTGTTTGGTGGCATGTTTTCGTATGTGTTGTTTTGGACATTGTTGTATGGTATTGTTCATGGTGAGTGCTTATTCCTTTTTTTCGTTTGGTTTATTTTGCTTGTATTAACATTGTACCGTTGATTTCCTAGTTTATGATTGATTTTCTGGATTAAATAAACTTTTATTTCGAACCATTTACATTGCGTATTAAATTCTTTCCGATAATATATACAGTATAAATTTATTATTTATATCATATTGATAGATTTACAGAATATACAAGAAGTAAAAAAAAAACCGTAATTTGACTAAAGTATTAATAATAATAATAATAATAATAGTGATAACGAACGAAACAAACGTTAAATAAAAAAATATTGGACTCTTGAAATTATCCGTCAATTTGACGCAAAAAAAAAGATTTTGCCAATTAAGATAGGATTTGAATTTAATTGGCAGGTAGTCGAACCGATAGATAATCCTTTCAAAAAATCGACCGTCATCTTTACACGAATTTTTTTCAATTCTTATCAATTTTTACAATATAATACATTGACCCATCATTCTTCGGCCATTCTGTCCGCCTCGGAATCCGGCGCCTCTGAAAGCTGCCTGAAATTGGAATCTCATCGCTATATCTGGAATTATGTTGACATTCCGTAAATGCCTAAATATCCTATTTCGAGCCCAAAATGAGTGATGAATATTAGTTCCAGCTTCATCATTTTGTCGCCCACTATTTTCATCGTCTTCTGTTTCCGTGTTATTGCCTTCCTGCTCACGATTACGCGTGTTGCCACTGGCTTGCCACGCGTAATATCCTTTCAACTTTAATAATACACCGGCTGCCGATACTTTTTGTACAGTTTCACGAACGGCGGAAATTGAAATATTACGACAATCAAATATTTCAATCTCTATTAGCCTTGGTCTAGTATTATTGTTCTTATGAGAAACCAGTCCATCGTCATCATTGAATAGATTATTTGTATTGTTTATTCTATCTTCTATAGAGGCAGTAGTAGTCAAGATTGTGGTGAGATTCCTTAGCACTGTATCGGTGAGTGATTGACATTGGTCTAAATCAATTCGACTTATATGAGTGCATTCACGTAATAGATTTGTAACACCTTCGTCCGTAATTTGATCACAATAACTTAGGCAAATTATTCGTAATTTTTCCAGATGAGTTGCAAATGCTTCCAACACCTCGTCATTAACGGCCGTATTACAGTCCTCTAAATCAATTGCCTGAAGTTCTGTACATTTTGAAGCGAGATAAGTTAGACCAGAATCGGTGAAACCCGGACATCCATGAAGTTGTAGATGCGTCAGTAATGGGCAAAAATCAGCAATATCTTGTAATGCAGTATCGGTCAAATGAGGATTATTCGAAAGATTGAGATGAGCAATTGGAGGTGGCGATGATGAATATGTGGTGGTTGTCATTGTGGCTGCTATTGTGGAACTATTATCATTATTACTGCCCGATTGAAAAAGAGCCGCGATAAGATTATCATCGACAGTTGGACACGAATCAAGCGAGAGAACTTGCAAATGTCGTAATTCACCAATCAGCGTAAATGTAGATTCGTTGAGCTTTGCAATTCCATCCAGCTTCAAGCTCGTCAATTTTTTACATCCCTTCACCAGAGTCTCTACATCCCTTGCGGTCATGCAACGACACCAACTCATATTAACCTTTTTCAATTTTTTGCATTGTTTGGCAAGCGTTCGAGTGTAATAATTTTGCGAACTTTTCAAATCTAAGCATGAAATATTTAATTCTTCAAGATCGTGAAGATGTGATAACAGAAAATCTATGGCGGCGAAATCGAGATTACGACATCCGGATAAATCAAGTTTCTGAATATTGGGACAATATGGCGTTAATTCACGAACATTTAAAGAGCTCAATTGAACACATCCTCTATTTTTTTTTTGTAAAAAAAATATCAATTTACTTAAAATGAATAATTATCTGAAGAATGCAGATATTAAAATATGACAACAGACCGAAAGTTGACCTCTTTTAAAAATCCACCAGCGGATTTCCATAATGCCACGAGTTGACTGGCCGAAATTTTCTGGTAAAATGGCGCTACATCAAGTCTTGACCATAATGCTCCATCGAATGCTAAATTATACCAAGATCGACAAACCTAGGGATAATTTAATGAATTCAGATTTGAATTTACTTTTGAAACCATAACTATTGTCTGAAATCAGTCAATGCATTTTTGACATTTAGCATCACCAAAATACCGATTTCAAATCAAACAGTTGTATTATATAACGCACGAGAGAAGTCCATCTATTTTCTCTTTCTTTCTGTGAGACGTTCGATCAAATTCTCTTCTTTCCGAAAACATCAAATTTAATCATACCCACCATAGAGGCCGTGATAACCTCGACCACCTCCAAACATTTGAAAATCTTTACTTTCACTTCCAAAGGCAATTTATCGAAATGACAAACATTCGCTTCCTCTTCAACGTCGCCTTCCATTTCTTCAACGATATTCTCCGTTTCTTTACCTTTTGATGACTCATTCGGTAATGATTCTGTTGTCAGTATAGGAGAATTACCCGGGGAACAAGCTTCTGCTAGTATTCTAATCGAAGCACCCTTTCCCTTTCTTTTATTACTATTGTTATTTTTTTCAATTTCATCGACAAGTGCGATAGCCGAATCCATTCGATCCTGGGAAACTCCGCTATCACCGTTACCACTGCCAGATACATGAGTCGTTGATATAGGCGGAACAATGATTGCGTCTAAGGCGCGCATAAGTGTTGTATTATTACTTACTCGAGGTGAAATGAAAGCAAAATACACGAGGAGAGAATGAATTCGGGATTGCTACCAGTAACAAGTAAAGTTAGAAAAGGGGCAAATCATGTGATTCCGATTTATTTTCACATTCGGTAAATTATGTAATGTATTTTATTTGACGATTACTATCTAAAAGAGAATTATACTTTCTGGTGCTAAAAATTAGTCGTGCCGTTCGGCTTCCGCCCTTCTTTCCATTGATAACGGACATCTTAATTTGCAGTCAGTGTTGTATTGATATAAGTATGTGTGAGTGACTAGATGCTGAAATTGACCAATGAAATTACAGAATAAAAAAATGCTCAGCCAATGAGATGTGCTCTCTGTGCTCGGAAATTTTCTTTGCATTACACATGATTTATACCGTGTTGGGTCGGATACTTATGATTTACCGTTACGCGGAACACGAAAAAAAATTAATTTTTAGAATTAGTTGATAGATGAAAATAAAATAAAATTACTTACCTTTACCCCCCCCCCCGGTGAGATAGTCTTTTCTTGAACTCGAGTTGACTCTAATGACTCGAGTTAGTTAACTCAAAGCAAAATGCTAAGCCGAATTGGTTTGTTGAATTCGTAATCGTACGCGATTCATCAACTAATGAGTTCGCTTTATAAATTTGAGGCTGAGAACGCCGCTATATAAACAACGGTTTTTTTTTGTTTTAACGGACGATAATTATAAATTAGCGACGTGAAAATTGATATAGCTACAATAATAGCATTAACACGACAATCATGTCTTCCTCAAAAACTCCACCAGGACCCGCTCCCACAAAAACAACAGGGCCCAATATTTTAAGTACAGTTAGTGGGGATGAAATTAAATCTGGATTGGTCGGGCTTGAGAAGATTGGGGTTGCGGATGATATTGAGAGAGGAATCAAAAAAATAGATAAGGACACACCAGACGAGCGTCAACAAGAAGAGAGAAAAATTACACATCGAATTTATAAACTTGACATAGCGATCACTTGTTTATTATACTATACGTCTTTGACGTCGAATTGGTTAACTTTATTGGGATCAAGTAAATCGATCGGTGATTTTTTTTATAAAGTTTTAATCGGAAGTTTTAATTTCACCGAATGGAATTTTGATCGTTTTGACATTGTTGGTAAAATCAGTGGAGTCACTTGCAGTCTTCAGATTATACTCTTTGTTTTAGCAAATGTGATAGTTTTGGGTATTACTTTCATACATCCTAACGGTAAAAAAGGATTACCGGTCAATCTGCGGGCACCAATATATTATGGTGGACCATTTCAATTTATTCATTTAATGAAACCGTCTTTAAAAGAGTTTCATTCGTCCGTTAGAAGAATCGATGCACAATTCTCGCAAGTATTGGAAATTCTAAGTCAATTGTTCATTATCGTAGCTGCTACAATTGCGACACACGCGAAATTAGAAGATATCACTGATATAATAAACGCCAATCCTCAAACAATAACTCCAAACACTGTAGATAATGGATTAAGTTATCTCGTGACACGTCAATATTTGAACAATACAACCCCAACAAATATTACCTCTACGACCTCGTCTGTTGATGAGACTGAGTTAACACTTGCGGTACAGAATGCAGCATTATTCACCAAAACAACACTGGTTGTATCCACAGTGGGGATTATAATGACATCATTTTTGAATGTTTTAAATTGGATATCAAACGTATGGAGAATTAATCAGGATGATTTGATTATCTATGAAATATATAAAATAATCACTAGAGTGTTAGTTTGTTATCCATGTTGCGGAGACAGGTTCGACGGTGGTAATGAGGAAATAACTGGTGAACAAGCGAAGGCAGAATCACAAGCACTAATGGAGAAGGAAAACCAAGTTGGTCCAAAACAACCGCAACAACCACCACCACCACCGCCACCACCATCATCAGGAATCAAAAATAAATCTCAATAGAATTTAGATGGAAAAATCGTATCCCCAGCATTAAAGAAAGGTACCTAATCTTCTAACCTCGGCGATGACTCGCATTAGGATTAGGTTCTTGACATTAAGCAAGCGCGAATAAGTAAATTTTTGTGTTTTCTTTTTTTACATGCATGCATGTTTGTTAATATTAATATTAATAAAATTACGAATTGAACAAAGATCAAGTATCAAACTCTAATTGGTCAATTTTATCACATGATCAGTGTCCATTTTACGTGTCTATTTAGCAATGAATTTTTTTCTTGACGTGTGTTTATTTATAGTTGGTCAAACATGAACGCTGCAAATAATCAAACAAGTGGTGGCAATGTTAAAACCTTTGTTGCAAATGAGCAAGGTTTTGAACGCATTGCAAGAACTTTACAACTATTAGTAAAACACTTTTTACGCGCGTCAAGTAAACCTGTTAGTAATGATAATAAACGGAAATCTTTATTCGATATTGAATTCGCTGATACTGGTTTATCTACACGCGAACGACAAGTGCATGAGTATTGTATAAAGATATTGGGAAGGTATGAAGATAAGATCAAACCAATGAAATCAATTTTTGAAGTAATTTGTGCGTTCTCTCATCTAAATCATTGATATAAATAATTCTTCTATTAGCCGAATGACTCCTTCGAAGGTAAATGATGAAATACACGTATCAGATCTTATAAAGAAGAAATGTGAGAATTAAAGAGTTATATAATAAACCGTGTTGCAGCTTTTTTACTATTCATTATTAAATTAACTTGACTTCTAGTAATTCGAGAAAATAAATCAACAATACAAGCATTACGATTCACAACTTTATTTGCAAAGCTGCAATCCCAGGTAAACTATTAGATATTATTCACGTGTTTATTTGAGACTCTTCTCTGATTTTTGTTCACTTAATAGTCGATCTTAACACAAAGATGGGCCATTCTATACTTTTTATTGTCAATCAGTGATTATACTACAACTCGAGACACTTTGGTAAGACATGTGTATAGATATATAACTCTTTCGGTGCGTCTTGTGATAACTGCTACTAATTTGGTTGGTATATGTCAAATTTCAGCCATTGGATTATGTATTCTCTTCCGGAGGTCTATATGAACCTACAGTAAAGGAGACATCAGAAGATTCCCAAAATCGATTTATGCCCAATATTCCATTTTCATCAGCAGCCTCAGGAACAAAGCTAAAAACTCCAATATCAAATGAAAACCCTCCAGTAGTTGTGGAAAATTTACCGCCGGATGAAATTCTACGTAATCAATCAACAGGTAACATCAATATTGGATTTATCATTATTTAAAACTTCACTAATCCTATTTCGTCAACATTCCTATAATTAATAGCGAAACATGAAATTTCCGAAGCTCTTTTGCTACGAGATATCGTATTTGTTTTTCAAGGCATTGATGGTCAATATATTAAATTTAATAGAGAAACGGATTCTTACAATATAGATTCAAAGGTAATAAATGTGTTCACGGGGCAGTTTTATGTTTATATTTACAATATTTATATTGGCATCCATCTTTATAGGTTATCGTAAATCGTCCAACGCGTGATCTTATAACAAGATTATCAGAAATGGGATTGCTTTATGGAAAAGTTGATACGTTTGTAAAAAGTAAAATAAATGACTCATCAATTGGATTAGTTGGACAGGTGAGAAATATAATATGACAGGTTAATTGAGTTTATATTGAGCGAGATAAGCAAATAATTTACATTTTTAAAGGATATATATTGAAATTTCAGGCTTTCTGTTCTGCGTTACAACGGGAGTTGACTGATTACTTTAGGTTAATGGCTATATTAGAATCACAAATTACAAAAAAAATAGAAACCGAAAAAGGATCATCCAAAGGAGGTCTTTCATTAAAAAGAGTTTTAGTATGGACACAAGATTCGTTGGCTAAATTACGAATAATGTCTGTACTCGTTAATCATTGCAAAGAGTATAGAGGTGGTGCTTTAGTCTCAACTATTTACAAATATACAAACCATGGCGACCCATTCACGCAAAAATTTATTAATGATATGCTCGAAGAGGTATTCATCTTTTATTATTATTATTCATGTAATATTTGGATATAAATGTTTATTATTATATTATTATTATAAACTAGGTTTCTAGACCATTCTACGAGATGTTGACACGTTGGATCTATGAAGGAGAATTGGAAGATCCTTTTGAGGAATTTTTTGTGAAATGTGATGATGATGTAGAAGAGGAGAAGCTTTGGCAATCAAAATATTCGATACGCTCAGACATGCAACCTACTTTTATTAGTACAACACTTGCAAAGAAGGTTCGCTTTTTTATGCTACTTGGGGATTGGTTAGAGATAGAGGAAGAGATGAAGTTACTAAATTTCCTATATCTGAAAATATGTTAGATATTCTCCATTGGCAAATCATTGAATTTTATTCGTTATAGTTGTCATGACAGTGATTGGATATCAACTCAAAATCAAGAAACTGGATCCGAAAAATGTGAGAAATCGAGAAATTGGTTTTATTTAATTAATATAATATCATTTAATTAATAACTCGTACATGTGAATATTAACTTTGATGCTTTTAGTATTAAAATATGGTGATATTATTGCATTGGAGAATTCGATAGACGCCACATATACCGCCACAAGCAAGCGACTATTAAATATCTTATATTCAAAGTATAAATTAATGGAACATCTTAAAGCATTGAAACGATACTTGATATTAGGTCAAGGTGACTTTATACAGTATTTAATGGGTCAATTAGGGTAAAAAAATTTTTTATTTCAATTATTATCATGTATAATATTCCTAATTATCAATGATTGTCGTGATGATGATGTCGGTGGTGAACAGCCCAGGACTATCAAATCCCGCAAATACTCTTCATCGTCATAATCTCACAGGAACATTAGAAGCAGCTATTCGCGCATCTAATGCACAATATGACGATCCTGAGATTCTTCGCCGATTGGATGTTAGACTATTGGAGGTAAAAATTTATTCATAGCCTTTTTCAAAAACTACGCAATAATCAATATGATCAATTAGGTTTCTCCCGGTGAATGTGGCTGGGATGTTTTCAGTTTGGATTATCATGTTGATTCTCCGATCAATACAATCTTTACCCCACAAGTAATGGAAGAATATCTCAGATTATTTAATTTTCTATGGCGTCTAAAACGTGTAGAATACGAACTTTCGGATGCATGGCGTCGACAAACCACTGGCGCTAGAAATTTGGCTGAGATTGGAGGTTATTCTTGTATTGATTTAAAAATTCTCAATTTGAAAAATTCTTGATGCTGACTGCAAACAAATTGAATCCACCAACGTCCGTATGTATTATGTTTGTGTATAGAATTAAAAAAAGACATAAACTCTAGTCGAATTGTTTGCAATGAAATGATTCATTTTGTTTATCAACTTCAATATTATATCTTATTCGAGGTAAGCCATCAAATTATTATGTAAATTGAAATGTGATGCCATTTAATCGATTACTCATTTAATTAAACAGGTAATCGAGTGTTCCTGGGATGAACTTGTGACTGATATCGAGAAAAAATCTGGGGATTTGGATTCTTTGATTGAGGCACATAATAGATACCTAAACAACATCACTACAAAAAGTTTTCTTAATCCCGGTAATAATAAGGTAACTAATAAATATATCAGTATAATAATAATAACAATAATAATGTATGTGTATAGAATTATTTAGAGAGAGTATCAACGATTATTGCATATATATTACAGTATATGATTGCTCTGGTAAGAAATTAATTATATAAAATTATTTTTTTCTCAATTCTAAAAAATATTTACTACTTTTCAGGAAGAACTTTATTTATTTGCAGCAAAAGAAATGATTCGTCGAGATAAACTATATAATGAATCTGATATTGTAAGAAACTTTGTATCATTTTTTTATCTTGTATGTTTTCTATAGAGATTTTTTATATTCTGATCCATATATTATGAAATCGAATAGTATGAATTTAGATACAAAAGAAATAACTCAATTCCAGTGCCAGATAACGAGCTTAAAGACGCACTTAAACACTTACAACAAAAATTAACCGATATATCTGTGAACTTTAAGGCAATTTTGTGATTATTTGTTAAATTATTTTCTTGCCTTAATATGTTGTTAACGGTTGTTATTTTATATACAGAATGAGTTGATGAACTTTTTGACCTCCTTAGCTCATCATCGTGATACCGATTTACGTTTCTTGAGTGTTCGACTTGACTTTAATGAATTTTATCATCATGCTTCTGAGAAGGAAGGTAATAAGGGTAAGAGAGTATAGTATAGAAAATTTAAAGCTACCGGTGGGTAAGCACTAAAAAAAATTCTTCAACTGGAACAATATTAATTACACGTGATCATTTGCCGGATTTGTATATCAGTATGTAGCGAATGCACTATGAAACGAATACTAATTAAACTCGGGATATAGTGAATTTGAGTTCCAGACCCATTTATAATAAAAATTTTTGGATAAAGTGAATTTACTAATAAACTTAATGAATTTTTGACAAATTTTTACTAATAGACCCGGACCATTTGTTATATCAAGATTCGTTATGTATATTTGCATTTAAATCTAGTATTTACATTTTTGCAATTAATATAATGCAATTATAATCAATGCCAAACTAATATTATCCAATCAAAGTGAATTATCCTGTAGAGCAATTCCAGTAATATTCATTTATCACATGGTTATAACAAGTTATTCAAATATCAGACAAATCATAATTTAATAATTAATTAAATATGATTTTTTTAATTTTTTTAGCTATTAATCATAAAATATATAAATAAGTTTTATGAAATATATATTATATTATTTTTAATATTTTTGTATTAAGCAATATTATATATTTAAAATTAATATAAATATAATTAAATAGATATTCTTTCATTAATTTGTTTTTTTATAATAAAATAACATACAAAAAAAACTAAATGTTATATTATATCAAAACAAAAAATAGAAATTCTCATTATTCTTGAAAAAGATTATAATACTAAAAAAATAATATAAAAATAAAATATTAACACTTTTACTATGATACAGAAAGTCTAAAGATATTAAATGACTGCATCATTGCTGAAATTCAATATGATTATTATATTATATAAGTAATGATTCACATGATTTTTCACATGATTAATACTTATGTGAAAGCCAAAAAAATTTTTTAGACTTTCAAATAATTAACTATCCTGAACAGCTTAAAAAAATATTGTCTTTATATATGAAGTAAGTGTGTCTTTATTTGTAACTCAGGGGATGTTCTGGTTTTTTTATCATTAGGATTAGAGAATTTTTTTAAGAGATGATTTATTCTCAATTTATTCATTCTCTTAAATTTATTCATTTTTTAAATTAATTTATTAACAAATTTTTTATAAATATCTAGGCACAACAAATGTGCTAAACACTGCTTGACTACTATTAAAAAGCAGTAGAATAATAAGTTAACACTTGATATACAAGTATCTGATATCAAATATGATAAATCAAGCTTTGACACCACTTGAACAGAAGATAATGATACTGTAGATGATCAATTCAATATATAAGTATCAGATACTGAATATGATAAACTGAGCTTTGATATCACTTAGATAAAAGATAATGATACTGTAGATAATCAATTTATATAAGAATTAAAAAAAGTAAAATCAAGCATATTTGAGGAACTCATTAAATAAGCAAGATAACTGAATACATAGGTAATAAAAGGATAAAAATGATTTTACACTAGCTTTGCAGAATTAATATTATGTAATAAAAGAGTAGTCTTAAAAAAAGCAACTGCAGACTTTAACAAAATTACTGACTGATTTTCCAGTAACCTCTCTATCAATAATAAAGCAAATTCTACTCATAACAAGATAGATTTTCTATTTGATAAAGTAGTTAATTCCAGTAATGATGATAATGATGACCATAATAAATTTAATTTGATATCTCTTGATACTTTGTTGACAAAAAAGCCTGAGAATATATAACTTTATATAACAAGTTAATTTCTTCATTTTGTTCAAGACCAAGAATTTTCTAAGCTATCAGCTAGTAAGCTTCTGATACATAGTATTAATAAAGATCTATAACATGTATAGGTTATTCATTTATGAACAAATTAATAGTTAAGTAAAGATAAACTTCATATATCACGTCATAAGCATCACTCAAAAATCTCTCTTCTGCATCATGAAGACTTCAAGTTATATATTCTCTAATATTTACATACAAATAAATTTATCTTAATTCTTTACCATTTTATAAAGTTTGTTGAAAAGAAGGTTATATCAACTTTTGAATTCGAGAAAAAGAAAATAATTTCTGAAATAATAGCTTGATCATGACTATACTATCTTGGCTAGAATTATAAAAATTATTCAAAGAATATTTACTTTAATGATCATGAGCATGATGATAAGATAATATACTGAAATCAATTTCTTGAACAAATAACTAATTTATGATCTCAAATAGTAGTATATGAAGAAAAAAATATGAAACAAGTTATTTCACTAACACTTCTGCTCAATATTTCTGAACTTGTTCCAATTACTCATGATGAATCAGTTTTTTATATTAATAATGATATTGTTAAAATATGAGATCCTATAGAAGAAAATTAACTCTAATATAAATCTCAAGATCTCAGTATTTATATAAGTGATTTCATTTGTGAATCAATTAGGTGTCTTCATCTTTTAGAAGAGGAATAAATTACAAATAATCTGCTTTCTGATGATCAGTAACTTTTGCATACTAAAGTATGTATTATTATGTATTCAGATTTTAATCAAGATAGTTAATGAATGAATCAAGATCTTATAAAAACAAGTAGTTAACAGAATTATTTCCATTTTTGAAAGAATACATCCTGATAAAGTGACACTTTTTATGTTCAATAATAGTAATAATTATAATACATATACCAATAATATCTTGATAATTTTGAAAATGAATCTAAAGGATGGGGATAAATAATTACTTTTCCATGATAAAAGAATATCTAATAGATCATCTTATATTATGATATTTATTAATGTTGATAGAATAACAAAATCAAAGAATATTTAGTAAATTCTTGAAGAGTATAAGTTATAAATGTAAGAGTTAATGAAACAATATGATTCATGCAAGTTACATATTGATTCAGCAAATCTATAATATTATGTAACTAGTATTCTTGATCAACAGCCTGATTTTATATCTCAAAAAAATCATTTGCAAGAGATTATTGAAATGACTAGCTATATGTGTATTTTTTATTCAAAGTTTTACTGTGAACTTAATTATATAGAGTTATTTTGGAGGGATGCAAAGCAGTATTTATGTCTATATTGTAATTATACTTTCAAAAGTCTCAAAGAAATAGTTTCACGTATATTAGAGTCTATCATCTTAACCAGGATTTATTAGTTTGCATATTAATCTGATTGATATATAAGTATATATAAACAAGATCTTTCAGAAAGGGCTACTATCTTTATGATAAAGAAATATCAATCATATTATCAAGTTCTAGAGAGTATTTTAGAAGAATTTGGTCATATAAAATAGAAATAAGTTGTATCTGAAAAATTAAGAAATTGTATTTGAATTAAATTTAGAAGATGAGAGTTACATTTGAAGAATTGAAAGATTGTATTTAAATAATTATTTTTCTTTTTTTCTTCATTCTTAAAATAAAAAAAATAATTTATGACATTACTAAGTTTATATATAAAAGTGATCTTTAAGAATTAAGAATAATATCATTTAACATATTTATTTAAAGTTCTTTATTAGTTTGCTCTATTGAAGACTAATTATATGTATTATATAAAACTAACCAATCAGATATTACAAATACAAAATTACATATATCATATAAAGATCTAGCCAATCAGAGAAGACTTCTTGATACTGAAAATTTTACAATTTATTATTTTTTATAATAAAGTATTCATAGAAAAAGTTTAACTACTCAATAAATTATTATTATACTTTGTAAAAGAAATACATATAATTATAGCTTTTATCAAAGACTATTTAATAATGTATTCTTTTTTAAAATTTTATTTTTAGATATAAAGTTTTAGTTATTCAAAATATTAGATGACTTTAAACTTTTTGCATCATATTACTTATATTAAGTAAAAATAATAAAAGAAATATTAATATTAATAAGTCTTATTATTTATATATGATAAATAAAAAACTTGAATAAAAAATTATTAATTTTATTTTCTCTTATAAATGCTTAATAACTATTAAAATTCAAAATTACTTTTATAAAACTAAAAATATGAATATTTTATTTATTATTTATTATATATTTATAATTATAAATTAGTATTAAAAATAAAATACAAAAAGTTGTATTTGAAAAAAAATCAAAAATACAAACTTAATTTTATAAAAAAGTATAAAAATTAAACTAAACAAGAATAATTTAATCAGATAAGTCAAAATTTAATATTTTTGAATCAGATAAGTATAGGTATTATTGAAAAAAAGAGAAAATTATTAAAAAATTTATATATTAAATCTATTATTAAATTTGAGAATAAAGAAATAATGATATAAAATTATTTTACTACTTATAATATTAATAAGATTAATACAAAATAAATGACATATTATATAGAAAAATTTTTTTGAAAGATTTTTTAAAAATTATTAATAATTTAATTATATATTAAATGAAATTATTTTTTAATATAATAATAATTTCAAGTTATATTATTATTAAAAATTTATTAATGATTTATTAATAATAAAGTTGATATTCTTAATTAATTATTGCAATCTTTAGATTTTAATTTTATTAAATATTTATAAATATTATTGATTATTATTTATATTATCTTTTGAAATCAATTTTGAAAAGAAAGAATTTGCGAGAGAAAATTCAGAATATATAAAATAATATTAATGTTAAAACATATATCTGTCTTGTCAAATCTATATCAAAAAGAATTATTAATATAATAAAGATTCATAATAATTATACAAGATGATAATCTAAATTGAAAATAGTTAATTTTTTAGAATTTTGATGGTTATTTATCAATTTTTTTTATTTTATTTAAAAAGAATAAATATAATATAACATCAAAAATTGAATATATTTGGTAATTACAAAATATTTAACTAAATAAAATTATTTGAATTGGTAATATTTTAAACTATAGAATTGTATCATTTAATCATATAATAATGATTGTGATACTATGAATACATTTATTTGAAAATTTTAAAATATCAAAATCAGTGAAAATCACGAATTCCTTCCCAATCCGAGTTTCAGTCTTAATTCCAGTCCTATGGGATAGTTTTAATCCAAATTCTAGTTCACGTCTCTCTTCGCGTCAATTTCATAAATGCAACAAGAATTTCAGAAGCAGAGTCAGAGTATTTCTCAACAGCCATTGGAAAAATCAAATACTGTCTCACCACAACTACAGTCACCACAACAGCAAAAAATACAACAGGCAAAAAAAGTGTTACCTGTACCTGGATTTTCGGAAGAACCCATCGAAGCACCGCTGGTTTTTCAATGTAACGACTGTTTAATAATTGTTGGTGATTCATTTGCATGGGTGTCAGCTGACCAGGATTTAAGCAGTATAGTGTTATTTGGTTGGTTTCCAAAAGAATTATTCGATATTTTCTTGTTTTATTCGCTTTTTGGTTGACAGTGGATTTTATGTGTTCAATCAGTTAATTCCAAATTTTTTTAACCAAAAGCAAAACCTAAGAATTTACGGGTGGGTGATGATTTATTTTGGTCAAAAGAGGGAGTTGATGTTGGAAGGTGAGGCAAGGAATTGGGGATTTTAATTCCTATTATTTATTAATTTTGATATTTGTTTCGATTTAAAGTACTTTCAAAATAACTTATTGCAATGGATGCAATAAACCTATCGGTAAAGTCTATCATACAACACCTCGACAATTTGATTATTTACGGTACATGAGATTTTTTTTGTAAATTATAAACATTGGAAATTTAGTAATAGAAAATATCTTTAATTTCTAGAGATTTTTACACAATTAAACTCGAGGATATTGCGATGTAAGTTAATTAATAGTTATTTTATTAATCTATTTTATATATTTGTTTAAATTCATTATATTATTAAAACTTGAAAAATGCTAGATATCAATTGGGAACATATATTAAAGGGGAAAAAATACCACCTGACATGATTACGTTTCCAAGTTCAAAAAGTTTACAAAGTTCAATAGACATGGTAAACTTGCCATTGATTATATGAACATTCGTTATTTAATTGAATGAAATAACCATCATCGTCGTGACAATAATAGGTAAAAGATGTCATACTAGTTTTAAATGATCGTTTATCGAAAATGGACGAACGATTATCAAAAATCGAAAAGTACTTTTCGAAAAAGCCGACAAAAAAGGGTCAATCAGAAATAATTTAGTTAGCAGTGCAGTTAAGAATTTTTCAATTCATCTTTAACAGAAGTACGTAATTACTTCTTTAGCGTTGAACATATTACGTGAGTTATTTATCTTTCATCACGGTGCTGAGTAACGTTATATTCGCATTTTTATTGGCTTGCATGCTACATATCACATATTTCGTGACAAAAACGCGTAATTTTTTTTATAAATAACACCGTTTACCATTTATTTTTAATGAAAAATTTTAATAAATTCATACATGATTGAATATTTTTTGCGAAGCCTCTTTGGTCGATAATCACGCTGATTATAAGGAAAGGAAACCTAAGCTTAAACTGTTCCTGGAAATAAATTTTCATATTCAGGGAATAAATAAATTTTGTTTTTAATACGCCAAAGATCTTTGATTTTTTTATGATAGCCTGTCAATTTTTGACAGGAATCCAAAAGCTTTGAATAAAAAAATCACTGCTGAAATTGAAAGATTCATGATGGTGATGAGGTCTTCTTTTTCATTATTTGATGATATCATTAGGCCAAGAAATAAAATTCAAGATTCATTTTACCTTTCTGGAATAATTGATGGTGTTTCAAAGGAGGCTAGAACTTAGAAATAAATAATCCAATGAGATAATTAAAAAATAAAGCAAAATGATCTTTCTCCGTTACTCATGTTAGCAATCCCTTTCAAGAAGTTGCACATTTTCGCATTACAATATTGCGAGTTTGCGCATTCTTTGTTAGTTCATTGCAATTCCAATCGTAATACCTCCACTAAACGGATCTCTTAAAAAATAATATACATTTTTATTAAATTCTGAATTAAAACCAAAATCAAACTTTTGATTAACATGTAAGAAATTAAATAGGATATAAATATATCTATCAAAAAAAAAAGAATGTTCGGTTACTATTAAAAGCAATCAAGCTATTCCTCAATGTCTGCCTCATTTCCATCCATCACCGTTTGTTCATTTATTTTCTCAATGATTCCATCATTACAATTACTATTACTATTTCTAAGCTCGTCACCAGTATTACCTTCCCCGTTTATATCTATAAAAGTTCCAACGCCAGGTATAACGCTCATTTCCGAATCTGATGCTGATGATAAAATGTTTCTAATATTGTTGTAATCGTCATCTTTTTTATTATTAGAAATGTTCAGCATTTCGTGAATTAATGATTTATTGGGTGTTTTTTGCTTTTTTGACGCGTCTTTTGGATCCATAGTGATTGTGTTACGCTCAAGAGAATCGGTTTTAAGTGTGGAATATTTTCTCACCAACTCAATTTCCTCCAGCAGAGTATTATGACGATAATTTAAACGAATTGTGGGAACATTGGTCTTATGAATACCTACAAAATTAATTACAGATTAGCTTCATCCAGAAGAATGAAAAAGAATGAAAAAAACGGCAATAAAAATAGGTCTAAAATACCGGAGGAATCAACGGCGGGAAGATACCATCGATCCCCTAACCAATGGTTTTTAATGCTCATCTCGAATCCGCTTTGAATTACAGAGTTACGCGCTAGTTCACACATATCTACCGCAGACAATTTCCATATCTAATTTTTATTGGTAGCAAAATAAAACACCTGTTATAGTCGTTAAATAATAAACATACATACACACAATAACTAACCTGAGCGGCAACGCTATACTCTTCAATCAACGGTTCTTTAGTAAAATGGAATTGCAATGGATCATCCGTACTTAAACTAATATTTAATCCTCTTTGAAAGAAGTTCAAGAATGGATTTCTTTCATAATTCAAGAAGAGAGCATTATTGGATAAAGGAGACATTGCAATGCCAATTTGTTTCAAGTAATAAAGATATTGTAGCGCGGGTACTTTTCTTAATAAAATTCCGTGAGAGATGGACTGAGAAGTAAGGAAAGCAGAAGTCAAATGATCAGTGTCACCAGCTTCTCCGGCATGAGGTCGAAGAACAAACGTGTCTTTAATGTTTAAAAAAAATGATTAATAGTCCATAAAATGGTAGAGAGAATATATTTCTAAAACTTACTAAATCCTCGAACTTTTCTCCATTGATTTAAACTCGTCATATTGGCATACATATAATATATATAATATGAATACGGTGGATTTAATTTAGTATCCCAATCTTTAGGGAATGGATATTTTCTATGAATGCGTCTTTCCGCCTTCGATTCATCATCCACACTATCAAAACCAACTACACGTTGAAGAAATACGTGTAGTTCAGGATGTTTACGGGGGTCTTGAGTCACCTCATATAATGGCTCGAAGATATCTAATTAGATGAATTCAGATTATTAATTCAAATCAAATGAAACAGTGTTTTATAACAAACAGCTAAAAGCTTACTTTTGATCACATCTTCAAAATTTGCTACAGTATTATTACTCGCATAAACATTATATAACCTAGGAATCTGTATTAACCAACGTACATTGGGCGAAATTATCTTATTGCCCACTATCCATTTAGCTAATTTATCCCATTCAGATTTAGAGCTGAATGATAGGGAAAAAAAAGTTGATCCTTTAATTCATATTTCTACTCTTTGACACAATGAATTATATTAAGCGACATCTTACCGCCCATATATCGAGACTCTATATTCAGCCATTTGATATTTGCTAGCCTCCAAATCAGATATCACCTCTATTGTCAATTATGCAAAGATGAATAAGGTACAACAATAACACGCGTTACAAAGCGACCAAGTAGTTTACCTTTAGTTAATTCGGCAAAATAACGACCAGAAATATAGTTGTCAGTCTTTAAGAAAATTTCTCTTAGACGAGATTCACCAATTGGATTGTATTTGAGATTAAATTTATCAAATCGATGAAATGAATCTGTATGCGCCTGTGCACAAAAAAAGAGAAACCATTTAAAATATCGGTACTATATTATCTGTGTATCTCTTGAAAAACTCACATGCATATCCAAAGTGTCTATGCTAAGCTCATACGCTGACAGATGCAAACTCTCGAACACCTGTATAAGTGTAAGAACTTTATTATCCCGAAAGATCACTTTGTCCTGTATTTCGAATTTATTAATTATCAACATCCGAAATACAAGCGATAGAAAACAAACATTAGCAGAAACCAGATTAACCGCAAATTTTATACATACGTCCTTGTGTTTCTTTAATTTAGATTTAATAAATCGTAAAAGATGTTTGGAATTCATACAGGATGAAAGATGAACGTGTGTATCAACCTTGCGTACATTATAGAAATCTCGATGCGGAACTCGCTATTAAGTGTTTATTTTTTGATATTAGTAAATATACGAAAATTCAATCTATCAAGTTCATGTACCTTTGAGTCCGCAATTTCTTGATACTCTTTGGATATCACGTACATATGCCATTTACTTTCCAGATATCGTAAACGTCTATAGGCGTAACTCTTTGCTGGACCATCTGAAATAATATCCAGTATTGTATCGAGATCGATAAAGTATTCTCTGATGGTAGGAACCTTATAAGCAGGCTTATGCTTTTCAAGAGCTAAATGAGATAACAATATAGTAAAAGATTATGTACCCTTCGTGATGACCAGCAATCAATAGGTAATCAGATCATGAGCTACCTTCTCGAGTTTCATATACTTGGTAAACCCCAGAAGAATCTAATTCGAAAAGGAACTACAAATAGATTCAAATAAACATCTATTAACGAAAACCACACAAGAAAGAGACCCATCTAATTATTAATACCTCGTGATTGCCTGGAATCTCGCATTTGCCAAAATTAAAATCATCACCGACTTGTAAATTTCCTTTTTTACTATTATTAGTACTAGAAAGCGCTTCTTTTGGATTTTGAGGCGGTTTCTTCCATGTTGGAGGTGGTGGCTCCGGATATATCTTCCATCCCGGTTGATCTTTCGGATTATCCCCTAGTCTTTGTAGGGATAACATCATGTACTTGTCACGCAGTTCAAGGCATTTGTGAAAGTTAGTGCAATGTGTGACAAGTTCACGTTCGATTTCCTCTTCTAAAGAAATACATATGGTATTATTAGTTAATCTCATAAAAGTTAAGCAGAAACGATGATGACTGGCTAAAATTGGATGTTCAACCGAGAGTTTCTTCCACCTGTGATTGGGATGCGTCTACATTATTAATGCGGGGTATTTGTGGTTCATAACTACTTTGAGTTTCAATTCCTGAAGAATTAAGCCTTGGATTTGATGGTTTACGTTGAGCCCAAAAATGATTATCGCGCTAAAAGAAAGAATTGAGAAAAATATACCTCAAAATTGCTTACATTAAAGCAAAAAAAAAAAATCCAAAATAATTTTCTCACTTACTTAAACTTACCGTCTGAATAGTTTTATCATTATGATACGAATAATATGGTGTGGTGGTTTCAAACTCTTCGTCTTCAGGAGACGTGGATAAAGCATCTCGGTGTGCAGCCATAATTAATTAATTAATTATTATACCTTTACTATTTTTGAGTTTAAATTTGTGTCTATATATAAGAATTGCGGAATCAGTTTAAGAATATTTGGAAAAAGAAGACTTCTTCGCCGATTCGCGCGCTTTTTAACGTTTTCAGTGATAATCAGCACTAACCAGAAATGGCTATAATAAATATGTGGGACAATCATAATTAAGTAACGTCTCGTGATCACCCATACATAATAGACAAAAACCTTGAAAAAGAAACAATGTATATGACAATTATGACGACATTGCGAAGTAATGTTCAATTTGGATCTGGATCTAAATTTGGGAATTCCATTAGGATGAGTTATCGGATATGTGAATAGCGCCATATGTCAATAAGGTGATTTTTGCGCAGCTCCTTTTTTCCAATCCTAGTTCTTGTTTTGCGCATAATTGGCATCGATATTATTTATTGGGAAAGTCGGATCTGTTGATCACGAGAAAATCTCTAATTCATATGACATCATTTAACTTGATTTAATTTGATTTTATTAGATCATTAGATCACGCCACAACCAATAAGGTACGTAATCAAATACATTTGAATTTCTGCCGTAATTATTTTAATAATCGATATGCGACTTAGCTCAAAACGAGATAATCTCAATCCAAAAATCTATACAATATATATATAATCTTCTTATGATAATAGCATGCATGATGAAATTTTGCGATTCCCGAGAAAAACGCAGCCTTATGGCAAGGCAGCATTAACCAAAAGCCATAAATTGTCGGTTCCCTTATCAGACATCTTCCTTCGTTTCTTGCCAGCCCCTTCTTCATCATTATGATTGTCATCACAATCGTCTCCGCTATTAGTATAAGATAAAACATAGTAATGAACAATAAAATTTCAACACCTCATGAGATGTTTACTTGGTTGATGGAAAAAATTCTTACCGGTCCTTACAATTCCTCTTCTTTTCCTGAGAACTTCGAACACTGACCACTCTAGTGCCAACGTTTTCGCTGTTTGATTCTTCAGGTTTTCTATCTTCGGGTTTCGTATCTGATAAATCGCTTATTATCGACTGAATATCTGATATGTCTGTCAATTCTGATACTCCATCTGACAAATCGCCACCAATATCTTCATCATCGTTAAGTTCTGTTACATTCTCAACGGAAACACCGTTTTCGAACCCATCATCTTCGTTATCTGAAACAGGATAGCCTAAAGGATCCCAACTAATTTTTAAAAAGGACATAATAAATTACATGTGTGTATAAATATATTTGTGATAATCGAATATTCATGAATGTTCATCAACACGGTTATATACTCTGAATTTCTGGCTGCTGCTCTTGCTTTCATCTGTTCTCGTAATATTTCTGGTATAATATATTTTCCATTTTCATCATATTCTCCCGTCTCAAAGGTTAATGCTGTATTATCTGTTCCTAAAATTTCCGTTAAATCATCCTTTGAATTCTTTAATCGTCGAACCTTTGGCTGTCAATTGTTAAATCGCGTATCTATTTAATCAAAGTTACAAAAAAGGAATCCAAAAGGGAGGGCGAATTTAAAGGTGATATTCTTACTAGGAGATGATCAACATGACATGGACACATCCATTTTTTATATAGGCTAGGACGTTTGACTAATGGTGGGTCTAAACAATCCAAATGCCAATACATTGGACAATAATCGCAAGGGATCGCAGGTTTTTGGCGCGAGGGAGGTTTGCGGCACCAATGACAATAAATATAATTGCCTTTTTCATCTTGTAATTGCGTGTAGTCAGGCTCAACAGGAATACCATATTTACTATTCAGATGATTGTATGATGATTATTATTTTTTTTTCACTTATTCCTTTAAAATCATATTATTATTATTCTAAATGATCCCAGGATGACTTACTCCAATCTCGGTGACTTTTTAATATTATTATCTACATAATGCCCCGTAGGTTCGGTTGTAACTGTTACAACGGAGAAATTTAAAAGGTTATCTCTCTCCCATGATATTCATCAAAAAGGGAACGCACGATTAAACCCTGCTTTCCTCACCTCCTTCAAATGAATCTTTAATCCATGTGGGTAATTCAAATTGAACAGGGTTAATCCTACGCACATGATCAAAAAGTTCAGAAAAGAGACCAGGCGGTGCTTTCGGAGGAGGATTCTACACATAGAAATCAATGAGAAAGCAATCGATAAAGATCTATCAAAAACTGTTGTTCAAATGAAATACCAACCCTTTCAACACTGCACACGACGCAATACCAGTTTCCCTCAGGAGGGTGATTGTAGTCGAGAGGCGGATTAACGCATAAAAAATGAAAAGCTCTAGGACACCCGTCGCAACAAATCAAGTGTCCCGCCCCATGACAAGAATCGCACAACTCGTGATTTTGTGCGGTAGATTTACCACCTCGGAATCGACTACGCGAAGAATGTGTGAGAATAGATTTTGTAGGTAAAGCAGAGCTATAATTAGGTTTGGGTTTTTGTGTCTGTTCTTGTTCGGTTGTAGTCCCACTCATGTTCCTGCGATTTTCACATATATAGAGACACACGCACGCACACACACACACACACGCAGAGCGTCAATAATTTGTTAGATAATTAGTTTTGTTATCTGGTTCAAGAGCGAGTCCTACTTCATATCCTTTAGGGGTGCAATAACTAAGAGTTTTAAATGTAGAGTCGAGAACTCTGCTCAATGCAGCGAGTGAATGAATACGCACAGCTTTTTTATAATAAATTACTTTGAGTTTGCAATGGTGTAGGAAATCTGTGGGTAAAATACGAAAAATGCGAAACGTGATAAGGGTTCAAATTTTTTTAAAAATATACAAGATCATCCGAGCTAAATCTGAAAGAATTAATCATTGAAGTAATAAATTCAACTCACCCTCTAAAATCCCATATTACATACGTGTATTCCACCATACAACATTACTACATTCAAGAATAAATAAATAAATGTATATTAACGACAGTTACTCCGAACTGTTGATAATTTTCTCAATCGATTTTTACTTCTTGACGTGTTTGATTCTTATGACTATGTCTAAAACGAATACCCTCAGCCTCACCACTCCATAGTCCTGCCAACACCAACGCATGACAAAACAATAATAATGATGAGCTCTCCCTAGTTGCCGGATAAACATTCCAACAATATTCTATCGAGCCAATCAAAACAAATCTATAAATAGAAACTTTTTAGAAATGAACCCGTAAAAATTTCTAAAGAAATCAACAGTGACTCTCACTCACCTAAACACAATCGGAATTTTAACCGCATGCCATAGTAAAAATGGCAAACTGTGAAAATACCAAGAGTAAAATTGATAATGTAACGTACGTGAAAATAAAATGCCAATGAAATTGCTCGTAAACATTAATGTTGTTATGTCTAAGAAATGATAAATGATGATATGATGATGATTGTCATTAGGGAATGATCAAATTAAAAAAGCCACGTAAAATAACTTACGATCAGGTGTGATTGTATCATCCCAAATCACCTCTCTATTTTTACTAGATTCTTTTCCTTTTCTAGCTGTTATTGCTCTGTCACTAATAAATCCACGTTTCAACACGGTCAACACGCCATTTTCAGTTCGACACCATATACCAAACAAGAATGCCGCCAATACCCAAGAATGTCCTAATAATAAAAATCTAGCAAATTCTGAACTAATAAATGTTTTTGAGTCTATAAATTTCCAGTTGACGGTCCATGTATAATTAAATACGCGTGAAAATTCAAAAGCTCTATTTATATAAGAAGATGGATAAGTTGACAGGAAAGGAAATGCAATTATTATCTAGATTAAATAATTAATTTAATTTAATTTCACTTATTAATTAATTAAATGAAAAAACAACATAAATTGTTGAGGGAATGGGAATAAACTAACTTACTTGTATTATGATAACAAGTAAGAGATGATTTAATGTTTTCCATGCTCCTAATGATTTGTAGAGTATGAGTCCAAATGCCGGGAAGAATAACAAAACATTCATTTTTATCGATAAAGCTAAACTATTAAATAGATGATTATTATATTTTGTAATAATAATAATAATAATAATAATAATAATAATAATAATAATAATAATAATAATAATAATAATAATAATAATAATAAAGAGATCAAAAGTTAAACATACAAACCTGTAAAGAATGCAACTCCATTTCCAACGTTTATTGATCATTGCTAAAATACTAGCATATAAAAATGCCATCGTAATCGTATCATTAAATAATCTCAATACGAATATCGAATGAATTCTTTTTGAGAGGCATAAGGTAACCAAAACATAGGGTGATATCTAATTTAGTATATCAGCATCAATATTGATTAATCTTTCTTTCTCGTGATAGATCCAAAGGTTTTTGATTGCATCATCAAAATCATACTTACCTTCTCTGAACGACTGTAAATTGCAAAAACGATAGTCAACGTAACAATATAAATACCGGCAAATATATATTGTGCTAATCTTATATCAGCGCCTTCCGATGTGATATAATATAGCGCAGAATAGAAATACAAAAATCCAGCTGGATATCTGAAAGACAAAGAAATCCATTATTATCTCATCCTAATTTTAATTGTTTCAACTTATCTATCACATTATTACGTAGCGATCCTACACTAATGGCCCAGTATCACCCTTTAATTTCAGATAATCCCTCTCGCCATCAAGAAATCCTGAAACTTGTTGCATATAAGCGATCCAATCTATCTCGGTATCTACATTTTTAAACAAGATCGTATTAAGCTAATCAAATAAATCCACCATGGTCAAGTTAACATTAAATAAAAAACTTACATGCCACATATTTAATTATCAATAAATTTAATATTACTTCTCCAGCCAATAATAAACCTGCTGTGTACCAAAAATATTTTTTGTTTATCAATAGAGAACGAAGAGAGGTTACAATGGAGTCAGAGGATGCATATGCTTTCCTTTGGTTGGAAGTGGACATTATAATTATTTCAGTTCATGCAAGAAATGTTTGTAAAATCAATTTTGTGTCATTATTCACGTGAACGATTCGATATATTTCCCAGAATGAATACTGTAATATAAGGAAAAAAAGGGGGGGGGGGGAAAATACATAATCTTAAGTTTAGACATTTGGGGTCTAAAAGATCAATTAACTTAATCGACGGGGCGATCGGTGGAATGCTTTTTGGCAGCAGTTTATCACTTCATAGATTGTCGTTATTATAAAATATAAAGAGGAAAGTACTCAATCTAGGCCGAGAATGGATAGTGATAAGTCTTTAAGTCTATGCATTTTTACAAAAAAGGAAATAATCAATCTATTAATAGCGATAATTACAAACTCAAAAAAGATAATGATAATCAAAGCAAAATAAAACGAACATCCAACATGCGTACTACTTCCACAACCCCCTTTTTTTTTGAACGAAATGGAAAAAACGACTCCGTCTTTGGTTGATAAACAGCAGACATACTATCTATATCCCGTTATGATTATTTGTTAGTTCGTTAGTTTAGTTTTTTTTCTTAAAAGATAAAAAACATTGGTGTTGAATTTCAAAATTAAACTATGAATTCTTTTCTTTCGAAACTACAATAAAGAACAAATTTAATTATTATCAACCTAATAAAAACCAAGAACGAGATACTCAATTCGAATACTATTAAGAATTAATAAAACTATCCAATGTCTTCGACAATTTTGGGCACTCAGTTTCCGTCACCACCAGCTAGGCCCACTTCACCCAACAAAGAAACAAGCTCTGGTACTAACGGGCTCAGAGGCATTATGACTGCTGGGTTATCAAAAGTCAATAATGACAACCACTTACCCATGCCGCCTACCTCGCCTACTGGTGACCTTTCAAGATCTGCTGTACCGCATTTGAGAAGATTATCGACGTTGTCGGGAAAAAAAGATTTTTCAGATTTGGCGGATTTAAATATACCAACTATTACGGAAAATCGAGAGGATGTCACTGGTATGACGTTTAATAAAAGAATCTACTGATATTTTGAAATGATGGTGATTAATGAATACAAAGTGCATTAATAAGGGATTAATGAGCATTGTATTGTAAATATCAGTTAATTAATCGAATCTTTCGGTAATAGGTCTAAAGGGTCGTATCAGATTGCAAAAAGACTCTACGCGAAGAAATTCGCGAACATGGATGGATCAACAACGTAAAAACATTCAAGCTTACGAGTATTTGTGTCATATTGGGGAGGCTAAAGAGTATGTATTTAATGTATTATATTTAAAATAACGCATTCTAATTACCTTCTAATATATATATATATATATATATTTTAATCGTTATTGCCAACAAAAAGATGGATCGAAGCATGTGTAGCTGAAGAAATTGAACCAATTGTAGAATTAGAAGAATCATTACGTAATGGGATCGTATTAGCAAAACTGGCTAGATCCTTTGAACCTACAGTTGTCCCAAAAATATACATGGCTCCTAAGTTACAGTTTCGACATTCAGATAATATCAATTTCTTTTTCCTGGCAATTAGGAAAGTTGGATTACCTGATGTAAGTGTAACAAAGGGAATATTATGTTTGAGAATAATGAATGCTATGTGAATCGATTTTTAATCATCTCTATTTACCAAATCTCAAATAGATATTTTGGTTTGAATTGACTGATCTTTACGAAAAGAAGAATATACCGCGTGTTATTTATTGTATTCACGCTTTAAGGTAACTATCATTTATACATTTTTTTGCGAAATCTTCTATGCTTAAGCTACTAGATAATATTTTTTTTTGATTTAGTCATTTATTGTCAAGACGCGGAATAACACCTCAAATTCGAAATTTAATAGGAAAATTAGAGTTCACTGGTAACTTATATTACTTTCCTATCCCCGATTATCTTGATTTTCATCACCTTTTGTTAATTATCTTCTTGAATTGACAGAGGAGCAATTATCATTGACGCAACGTGGATTAGACGCATCCGGAATCATTATGCCTAGTTTTGCAAACGTGGGTCATGCATTATCCGCTGAATTGAATGAGTTTGTAGAAGAGCCAGAAGAGACAGAAGAAGAAAGTATGTTACATGGTGTACCTTTTTCTTTATTTTTTATTTTGATTTTTTGATTTTTATTTTTATTTTATTTTTATTTTTATTTTTTTGACGTAATATTTATGGTAAATAGAAAACAGGCGATATTGGAATGAGAATTTAGAAAAAATAATCAAATGCCAATCGTATATACGAGGACGTATTGCTCGACGTCAATTTTATGAAGATTTAGAAAAAATAATCAAATGCCAATCGTATATACGTGGACATATTGCTCGACGTCAATTTTACGAGATGTTGGAATTTTATCAATTTGTGGAGCCATTTGTAATTCGATTACAAGCACAAACTCGAGGTTGGATTGTACGTAATGAATGGAATCAACGAAAACATCAATTGGATAAATTAGAAAAATGGGCAATAAAAGTACGTTGATTTGTTTATTAAATGTCGAATAATTTTATTGGAGATATTTACCGGATTTATTTTATATAATAGTTACAAGCACATGCGCGCGGTGCAATCGCAAGAAGAAAATTCCAAGATAGATTAGACTATTTTCGTGAAAATATTGCCAAAGTTATTAAAATTCAAAGTTTATACCGAGCTAAAAAGGATGGAGATGCTTATCGTAGCTTAAGTACGTTTGAATTTATTGATTATCATTCTTTAATATCTAAATAATAATGAATAAGTTAATAATATTAAAAGCGATGGGAAGTAATCCGCCAATTGGAACGATTAAAAACTTTATACATTTACTGAACGACAGCGATTTCGATTTTGAAGAAGAAATTGGTAAGTTGACGAACTAATGCTAATTATATATGTCAATTTAATCTAAATATTTCTTTTTTTTTTAATTGATTAATAAAGAGATTGAACGCCTTCGACAAGTTGTAATCCAAAGAATTAGAACTAACAATCAATCAGAGACACTTTTAAATAAGTTAGACATTAAAATTGCATTACTAGTAAAAAATCGCATAACTTTAGATGAAGTGATAGCGGTGGCTAACCCCAAAAAACGGCAACGGCGTCTATCACAACTTCACTCGCCCGGTGGTCCGTTTTCATTGAAATCTCTCGATAAAGAATCTCGACAACGATTAGAGCTATATCAACAATTCTTTTATTTATTACAGACTAAACCTCAGTATTTGGCTCGTTTATTTTTCATAATGAATAAAGCTCGATTACCGGATAAAACGAAAAAAATGGTGGAAGGAGTCGTCTTAACGTTGTTTGGATACGCACAGAATGCCAGGGAGGAATTTTTGTTATTGAAATTGTTTCAACGTAGTATTTTGGAAGAGTTAGAGAGTGTGGATACGTTGCAAGAGTTTATGAGGGGAAATTTTATGTTTATGAAGTTGGTGGTTCAATATAATCGGTAAGTATATGCGATTTGTCATTGAATTTAAACATCTCTCTCTCTCGTCTTTCTTAATTCTTTGTTTTCGCCATATATAAAGTGGCGCAAAAGAACGTAAATTTTTACGTGAATTATTAGGACCTTTGGTGAAATATGTAATGGATGATGATTACATGGATTTAGAAACCGATCCCTTAATGGTACACTTATTATCATTATTAGCATTACTATAATCTATAATGTGTAGAAATAAAAATATTTAATGATTATTCTTGTAGATATATCGGACATTAGTTAATGCCGAAGAATTACGCACTGGACAAAAATCTTCTCGACCAACTGATATAACACAAACAGATGCATTAAATGATCCTGAAACAAGGACTGTGTTTATTCATCATCTTCAACGTCTGCGGAAAGAAACAGAAGTATTTCTAAATGCCATTATTTCATCATTAACAAAAATGCCATACGGTATTCGATACATTTCGAGGGAATTGAAAGCGGCATTAATGAAAAAATTTCCGGATGAGTCCGAAGATTCGGTAATGAAAGTAGTTGGACATTTGGTTTATTATCGATATTTGAATCCAGCCATTGTGTAAGTGTTCTGCTACGATAATGATTCTAGATTTGAACTTTTTAGAGAAAAGTCTTGAATATCATTCGTTATTTTTTATTAGTGCACCGGAAGGATTTGATGTAATTGAGACAGTTGTTAGTCCAATGCAACGAAAAAATTTAGCAGAGGTGTGGATTTTTTTTTCTTTGAATTTTTTTCACAACGTAAATGTCCATATTAAAGTTTATTCGTATCCCATTTAGATATCCAAAATGTTAAATCAAATATCAGTTGGACGACTTTTCACCGAGGATAATATGTACTTGCAACCATTAAACGATTATGTTGGATATGCGTCCAAAAGATTCGCCGATTTCTTTACGGATGGTGAGATTCACTGTAATATTGATGATCATCTTTGTAAAACTGATGATGCTAACGTAATATTTTGATTTTATAATTCAGTGACCAAAATTCAAGATCCCGAAGTTTATTTCGATATTGATGAATATAATGATCTGATACAAACGCATAAACCAGTCATTTATATATCACCATTAGAAGTATTTTCAACGCATGCAATGTTTTTAGAACATTTGGAAATGATCGTTCCAGAAAAAAACGATGTATTGCTTGATATACTAAAAGAGCTTGGTGATGTACCCCCATTTGATGAAGATTATCTGAACAATAATAACTCACCTAACACTGTCGCAAGTGAAATTAGTCTCATACTTACCAATCGACTTCAAATCACCGATTCAGACCTCAAATCAACAGGAACCGACATTGCACGACTTTTCGTGGAGACCAAGCGATATATCCTATCAATAATTCGTGTGCAAACTGGAAAAAATTTATTAGATATATTAATAAGACCAGTTACACCACAGGACGAACAAACATTTAAAGAACTCTTAAAAGCAGATCGACTGAAAAATAAGAGACTTTATTCTTCCATAGATGAAAGCAACAACAACAACAACAACAATAACAATCGTTCTTTGGCAGAGAGTTCAGCAGAACGAAATTTAACAATGTATAATATAAGTAACATGACTTTTAACGATTTGAAAAAAGTAACATTGAAAAATGTGTTGAAATTGGAAGAGGAGGGAAAAGTTACACGTCAAAATAATTATCAGGATTTATTGAATGCAATCGCGGTTGATATTCGAAATAAAAATCGACGTCGGGTTCAACGACAACGAGAGCTTAAACAAATTCGACAGACATTATCTAACTTAGAGGAGAAGCGTATTTACTTGGATGATCAAATTAAAAGTTATAATGATTATATTGATGTGTGCATGCAACAATTATCGACCAAGAAAGGGTATGTGTCATACACATTTCATTATATATATATTTATATATGGTTATTTTAGATGTTAATCTCATTTCATTGTTAAATAGCAAAAAATCACGAGTGATTCTTCCATTCACGCGACAATATTTCCATATCCGCGATCTACAACGTCAAGGTCGCGTTCCAAAATTCGGATCATATAAATTCACGGCACAACGTCTTCACGAGAAAGGTGTCCTAATCTCAATTGATGGTTATTCGATAAAGCAGTTTGACAAGATAAGTTTCACCATATCATCTGATGTGCTTGGAATATTTACAATCGAAGCAGCTTATATGGGAGTCTCGGTTCCTGGTGGACAAATGGAACTAAGGTTGGAAGAATTGCTACAGAGTCAATTTAATAATGTGCAGGTGGAGAATTTAATGGACGGTCAAGTCAAAGTTAATTTGAATTTATTGATTTTCTTGATCAATAAAAAATTCTTTGTGTAATTATTATTTGTGAAGAGATCATATGTATATTCTTTAATGTATTGTACTACTAATCCTATTATTATTTATATCTTCATACATATTTTTATAAATATAGTATATATAGTATTCATATTAATGTATAATAGCAAAATTTGTGAAATATTAGTTTAACCCTAATTTTGAATTATGTATATTGGTACGTAGTAAATAAATAAATGAATTCATTATTTATTTGACAGAAAATTATGTATCCTGCTTAAAGATTTAGTGATATTTAAAAAATACACGTAAAATAAATAGCACGTAATCTTTAATAAATAATATATATACTACGTCTATATATACACCTAGAGATTTCCGGAAGACAATCTTTTATTTCTCTTCTTTTCCCAAACACTCTTGATAACTGTGCGAACCTTTTCCAAACTATCATCCCAACATGCTTCACCAACACCTACAATATTATCTATATCTTCGGGTTGAAAGACAAAATTGGATGTACCTACGACTTTTTCATGAAGTGGATCAAAGTTGGGATATTTCTTATGAGGTAAATTTGGCATGTAAATTAATGTTAATTCACGGTCGCCTAACAATTCTTTTCCAGCATCGTTAATTGGTTTTCCGTCGAAAATTTGAGCGTAAGCAGGTGCGAATGTTTTTTCAATTAATTCGGGTTGACCTCGCATATCGTCAGTGAGCTTCTCGGGAATTGAAATCTTCTCTGAAGGATCAACCGGGGTCCAAAGAAGTCCACGTCGAGTAGAGAATTGTGTGGCCATACGATCGAAAAATGTTTTCTCCATAGTTTCCTTACTACCATCAACAGAGATAATAATATCAACCTCTCGTCCTGGACGAGTTAACACATACCATGGATGATTGTTATCCATCCCTTTGATCAATCATATTATCATAGATTAGTATAAAATATCCCGTCATCAAGAATACCGTGAATTTATTCTGTACCAACCAGAGTCAAGTATGTGAAGTTGTTGGCAAGTGTCAATTCCATGTTCAGGATTATCACGAGCAAGCAAAAATGGATTAGGTTCATGAGCCGGATGAATAGGATGATGACTTTCAAATTTGTCAATTCCGTGATCACCCAATATTTTTCCAACCTATTAATACAAAATATGACATTATCAAGTAATTCAGAAGTAACAATACTTTTTTTCAGGAATAAATCAAACCTACCTTTGAGGAAAAAGATCTCAACTCTTTACCTAAAAAAAATGGTAATAGCAGTGTAATTTACAAAAACAGCCTATCAACATTAACGATATGTCTATTAAATTTAACATACCTAACCAATTATTTGGCAATTCCCTATCAGCAATATGTACATAACGCGCGATTGGTGCACATTGGGCACATGTCATATAGCCCAATTCTAGTGCAAAATTACGCTCTGGGATATTATTAGTACTAACTCCTTTTTCGAAATAACGCCCAAAAGCCCAACTTGGTATCCAAGCTAGAAATATTTATAGGCAATTTTAATATGTGGACTATTTTGAAATTCAAAAAAAAGAAAAGTGTTAAATTACCGTTAATATTATCATTTCCAATCTCGTAAGGAGTGAATTCGATCCACTGATACCATGATTTTTTCTTGTCATGATCTTTATCATCAGGAAGTGAAAGGACTTGAAACTCCTCATCACATGGTTCACCCTTTTTAATAGATATTAAATTGAGTATATACGTAAATGTATATTGATGAAATCAGTCAATAATTTACCTCTACAGCTTCGCTTCGATCTTTCCATGGACGTTCATGCCGAATTCTAAAAGATGCAATGTATCATCAAAGAACCAAGAATTAGAAATAAACAAACGAAATCTACGTTCAATGTTAACTTACGTCGTGTAGATGGGTAGTGGATTTGCGGCATCTTCTAATAATCTGGCTTGTTGAGAGAGTTTAAAGTATCTCGGATCCAATGCATTACCCTTTCTGAAGAAATACCCGCCAAGAACTGCACCATACATATCGGTACTATTTGTGATTAATTTACATAGACGCTTTTCTTCAATTGCCCCAAAACTTAAATCAATTCCATTCTCTAACGAGAAAAGTAGATGAAAGAATTTTGGGCTTGAAGGTTTAATGACATATGCCTCTTTGAAATGTTCGATCGTAGCATCTACTGATCCTTCCGCAACCGTATAATAAGTTGCAAGCGCCCAGCATGCACCAGATACACCTAGAAAAAGGAGGCGTTTCTTTAAGCTTTATAAAACTATTAATTTAAAATAAAGTAAAAACTACCTGTGAAATATGTCACGCTATCCCATAGCCCACATTTATCCATGCCACGTACGTATCCTATATAAAGGAATGCCAAGTTTAGACCGAAGACCAAAGAAAAATCAAAGAACATAGCATTTATTTACCCATAGTATCCACATTTGCTCTCATTCCACCACCACTAAAAAACCGAGGGACTTTATAAGACACTCATAGAAAATTTAGTCAAAGAAGGTCTATAATTATACCTGCCACTAACAGCGATGATTGGAATGTCGGCCTCATTAATTTCATCTACATCCACACCAATAAATTTAGCAAACGATTGACGCGCTCGAGCTTTACGCGCAGCAATAAAAACTTTCTCTTCATCAGCCAATTCTTTGCTTAATCTATCAAGTGAATTAAAGTCATATGTTTTGTAAGAAAAAAATTACTTAGAAATTTCAAAGTTAATGGTAAGTAAAAGATCTACCTAACGTGTGCAGTTTTTGTTATTTCAGGATTTTTTTCATAGTCTTTCATGTCATTTTCTACTTTTGTCTTTAAGGCATACGCGTCTTCCAAAAGTTCTTGATTTCGCTCAACATGTGACGTAGGATTCGTTAATTTACTCTTCAAGCCTTTCAAGGTATCTTGAAGAATTCCAACAAAGGAATTCTTGTTTTCAGTCTCAGGCTCTGTTAAGCTAGCGTCTGGTCTCAGCGCTTGCTCGGCTTCCGAGATAATTGCGTCTTTATCTTTACCCGACATTTAATTGAAACAAACAAAAAAGTAAGACCTGGGTGAATTCCCATAATACATGCTATGAAAAAATACAATTTTCGAGAACGACAACGTGCAACAATAGAACCAAATAAGGTGACATTCTACGTGTTCTTAATTTTCTATATGCGCTTTGTGTTCTATTCATTCAATCATTTAATGATGATGGTATATATAGAAGTACATGATTTACCTCCTTTATTATCGTTATGTAAAGGGGATATTTCATTTATTTTTATTAACCTTGTACCATGCGCATAATGGCCCCTGATATTTATTTTCGTCATTATCCAAAAAATTTTTTGGAAAAGCGGAGTGTGAGAAAATCAAATCTTTTGATAATACTCCACGCTTGCTTTTTTTTTGTTTGTTGATTTGATATTTTCATCTTTGTATTGTTATAAATATTCCGTGGAAAGTAATTTCTTTTATTTTTACAATATTAGAAGTTACTTTTTCTTATCCAACTTCCTCTCCTTTCACGCATTGCAAAGTTAAAATATAGTTTTAAAGAAATACAATTCTCTAGAACTCTCTTTTGATTTTTGTATTTTATCACCAGTCTCCTCTCTTTCTCTCTCTTCTCTATTATATATATATATCGATATAAATTCTATACACTTCTTTTGCGTTTTTTTTTTGGTAATAAATATTGTGCGTGAGAGATGTCGGAAGAATCCGCAAAACATGCGACAAACAGGTGCGTGCTTTAATTGTTAATACGCAAGAGAAAAAGTTGATTTTCTCCAATCAATTCACATGCTTGAATGAAAAATGCATTGATGTGAAATGACTGAAATACAATTTTAATCTCCGACAAAAAGATGTATCATCATTTCTTTTCTGAACTTTATTGTATCCTGTCATTTTAAAAAAATGTTATAGCGTAGTGCTGAAAGTCGGAATGGTAGGAGATTCGCAAATAGGAAAGACGAGTTTGATGGTAAAGTATGTAGAAGGATCTTTTGATGAAGATTATATTCAGACGTTAGGTAAATAATAACATATTCAATGAACTAATTAATTAATTAATCTCCTATCCAAATAAACGACTAATTTTCGTGATTGAAAAATAAAAAGGGGTGAACTTTATGGAGAAAACAATATCGATTCGAAACACTGAAATAACATTCAGTATATGGGATTTGGGAGGACAACGTGAATTCGTGAATATGCTACCACTGGTGTGTAATGATGCCATGGCGATCTTGTTCATGTTTGACCTGTCGCGAAAATTCACCCTTAATAGTATTAAAGAATGGTACCGACAGGCGAGAGGTTTCAATAAGGTATTGATTTCTTCCTTTTAACGATTGAGCTTCAACTTTATGCTTATTTTTCGATAAATTACTCAAACCTAATTTTCCTTTTATTAGATTGCGATTCCATTTTTAATTGGTACAAAGTATGATCAATTTGCCACATTTCCAAATGAAGAAAAGGAAGAAATTACAAAACAGGTAGTAGAATTGATTCAAAAAGATGCAAATCAAAAACCCCGCCCACAAAACCCTTATTAACCGATTTCCATATAAAAGGCACGTCGATTCGCAGCCGTAATGAAAGCTCCGTTAATCTTTTGCTCAACCTTACATTCGATTAACGTGCAAAAAATTTTCAAAATAGTCTTATCAAAAGTATTCGATTTGAAATGCACAATACCGGAAATTACAGAAGTCGGTGAACCTATCTTGGAGTATATTTATACTCAAGGTAGATGATCCATCTATAATCATACCTTACATCTCCGTGTATATATATATATGTGTGTGTGTGTGTGTGTGCGTGTGTGTGTGTATATATATATATATATATGGCGACAGCTTTATAAATAATGTATTTCATAATGATAATCAAAAATAAAATATCAAATTCGCGTTTAATTCGTGTTATAATTGGCTGGCAAGGAATTATCAAATTTGTGACATCAAAGTTGTGACGTCAAAACCTTTTGTCCCTAACTTTTTGGCCGTATTCCGAATTCGTATATTACCATTTTGTCCACCATTTTATCGTAAAAGAATTCAATTACAAAAAGATTGGTGAATAATAGTTATGACATAGTATTAATAATAAATTTCCAATCAATACTTGTTCAAAAATGACTTCCTCTTTAATAAAAAACAAATTTACGCAAAAGAAAGTAGATCAAAACCCGCTTACATCACACTTGCACTCGCACTCACATTCACAACCACAACCACAACCACAACCACCACCAGCAACAACTTCCTTATTAGACTCTCAGCAGCATGAAGAAGCGCCTGATTCCGGCGTGTCGGCCTCTGGGCTAAAGCCCTCTTTGTTCGCGCATATCTATGATGACCGCGTCGACATCTTAGACACGGTAAGCTTATGTCACGTAGTTCCTATTTCTATAATGACTCTTTGTTTTCCTCTAAATTCTTAAAATACATTCTGTTTTTTAAAGATATTCTTTATTGGCGCTAATTGCTGTTTATTCGCAACTTTTTATAGAATGGATCCAACACTTTCGACCCTGATAAATGCAAGTTTTATCGAGGTATTTCTCTTACAAATTTAGAAAATCCATTCTATCTATTGACTGATTGATCATCGGATATTCGCCCACATCTACATTAGGATGTCTTATTTGTGTATTTCAAGACCATCGAACAAATCCTAACCCAAATCTAACTGGTAAATGGACCGCTTTACGACCAAATTCCAACACTCTTTGGGAGGATATTCTAAGGATGAATCAGGCTGCCGGTGGTATATGGACAAATCAAAAGGCGGTTGAGTTAGAATCCAAATTATTGGTAAGAGGAGCGGCCAACATTTATCTCAAAACACTCAAATTGACGGAATCATTAAATCCAGAATCTTATATGTTATTTGTAATAACAGCTTGCGATACATCCTAAGCCAAATTTAGACCCAAAATCTACTTTTCCGGGTCTTACATCTCAACCTGTAAAAGATGATAAGGAATTGCCTTTATTCATGCATCGTGATAAGCCCAAAAAACGAAAGAGGCTATTGAATTCGTTAGAGATTGAGTTGGAACGTAAAAATAAAGCTGAACTCGCTCATTTGATGAAAACGAAGCATCCGGTATTTAGCATATGATTCATACATCTTGTATTTTGCGAAGGAGAAACTAAATCCTTGGTGATTATCTTTCATCATAATAGCGAAATCGTAAAAAATTCAAGCCAGATTTTGCACAAGAAACAATGTTCACAAAGAACAAAGTGCGAAAGATAATTACACCCGCTGATTCAAACGGCAAACAAAAATTGTTAGCTCAGTCTTCACAAGGTAAGTTAATTTTTATGATTCATTATTTCTTCTCGTATAAAAACTAAACATCATATATTTGTAATAATATAGATCAGAGCAGAACACGTAGAACTCTGATAAAAAGAATGCGTTGGGAAGAAATTTTAACCACATCAGGAGGTTTGAATCTTTTTTTAATCATTATTAATTTCAGTTATAATGAGTTGATTCTCAATCGATTATTTTTATCTAGATCAAAAAACCAAATGTCATACTATACTTTTAGTTTATATGAATGTAAATTCCAAATACGATATGTTCATATATAAAATCAACGAATCAGACTTTGCTAGCTTCCCCGATCCTCAAAGGTTTATTCATGCAATTGACGAAGATATGATTGTTTCGGAATTAAAAGATAGCCGAGCTGACCTAACGTATGTATCTTCAATTATTACCTCCTTATGTTTGTCGTCTACTGCCGCTTAAATAAACGATCTTTTCTCTCTTCTAATCGCAGCTATTCATTTGATGATGAGGAAAAATGGAAAGGTTTTGTAAAACAATTCACGGTGTTGTATGGATTCAAAAATGAATTGAAATTTGTCTGGAGTCTTGCCGAAGAAGAAGAAAAATCGTTGGTTGACGCATTAAAACAAATTGCAAGCACTATTGGGGAGATAACAACACCGGAACAGGTCCACAATAAAGATGCGCGACAATTAATTGAGAAGTATTTCTCCGAGGAGCCCCCTGATCATTTACCTCAACCTGTGTATCAATTCACCTATAAAGATAAAAAGCAAATTATAGCACTCGGAACTGTACAAGATTATATTAATGCTGGTGACGTAAACAAGAAAATGATGAACATCAAGAATCGCGAACCTCCCACTGCACCCTTAATAAATGACACACCCGCAAACTTTTCGTCTGGCCATATTCGAAAGCCATCAATGCAAAATAATCCCATAGCAAATTCATCATATACTTCAATTCAAACGGAACCTGGAATTTCAATGCCTGCTACTTCATTGAATCAAGCTGCGACATCTCTGATACCCAATACACCGATAAATCAAACCTTGGTGCCTCCAATGACCAATACACCATTAAATCAAATACCGATTTCGACAATTCCTAATATGCCAATGAATCCAATTAATACAATCCCCAATTTACCAATGAATCGAGTTTCTATGCCGATGTCTACGATGTCTAATAACATGCCAGTCTCAGTAGGAGCAATTCCAAATACACCACTTAATCAGATGGCGACACCATCATTACCTGCTGCGGCGGTACGACAAGTTGTAACACCCATAATGGGAAATCAACAAATTCGTCAGGTTATACCCGGTGTACCAATGGGACAATATCCGAGGATATCGATGTCATCAGCACAATTGCAACAATTACAGCAGCGACAGGGAGTGATTTTACAGGGTGGAAATGTTCAACAACTTCTAATGAATCGTGGTGGCGCGATGGTAGGAAATCCATCACCAATTAATGGTGCTCGAATACCGGTTAATCAAGCTGCCGGAATTGGCATAAATAATGTCTTTAATTCGACAAATCATCTTTTAATTGATGGGCGTATATATACTCGAGAACAAGCAATGGCTCTCCAACAACAACAACAACAACGCCAACGTCTTATATTTATGATGTTACAGCAACAGCAACAGCAACAGCAGCAGCAGCAACAGCAACAGCAACAAGGTTCCCAGCCACGGCAATAATAATAGATAAATAATATAATATATAGAATAGAAATTATTTTTTTCCGGAATTTAATACTTAATCTTCTATTAATAAGTAGAACTTTATATTTATATAGTAATATACTGAAGATAATCTTGTAAAATAACTATTCTCCATAAAAAATATAATATGCATCAATCAACCGCGCGATTTTATATTGAGATCACAAACAATTTATTCAATCAAGTTTTTCTAAATATTCTATAGCAAATTTTTGCTCTACTTTACCGGATAATTAATTCAATAAATTAATAAACGTTAATTTCAATCAAATCTATTCTTTTAATTCATTTCTTTATAAATGAACACGCATTCAAGCATATAAATTAACAAATCACAATATTATATTACTATTAATACTAACTATCATAAATGTGTATGATCTAATACTCGCAATTTATCATCTTCGCCATGCTACTATTTAACATCCCTTACTTCTATCACTTCATCATTATGCCAAACACATACAAGATTAAGTTTGAATTCGCAAAGTTTAATTTGGAAAAGTTTCTAAAAAATATTATTTTATTAGTTCAAATCGAACAGAAACCCGAGTAAAAAAAATAAGTCAAGCTAATTTAAAAAATAAAAATTAGAATACTAATTACCAGCAAGTTACAGTGATCAACATCCAATTTTTGGCCAGGAAGGCAAATAGTGTGCTCACGCAGAAGCTTAAGCCTCCCGATAATATTTACAACATGCATCCCATGTTTCTTGAACGTACTTTCCATGGTAATCGGGAATTCTTCGGGAGGATCACCGTAAGTAAGAAAACCAGGCGGGATTTTTATAGCTCGATCAGCGATATATCCTGGTCGTGCGTAAATGAATTCTCGCTTGTTCTCCGCATACTTTTTCACAGAACTTGGGGAAAGATTTGTGAAAAGTAAATGGACATCACCTATTAATCGCTTTTTATGATATTAATCATCGTATAATGATAATAATAATAATAATAATTAGAATAATTGAGAAAAAAAGAACATCTTACTATCTATAGAGAGAAAGAATAATCTACTTTTGAAATAAGGGACAAATTCTTTTTATATTCATCAGATGGTTGCCTTCCTAGTGTTATCGCCATGATTTTGTTTGACCCGGTGAATATTCTAATATATAAAAGGACACGCATTAATTCAATAAGAATTAAAATCAATCAATCGAATCAAAATACCCACCGACTTTCTTCCAAATCACGTTTAACAGAATTCATACATTCGGTGCGAATATTAGCGACGTTAAATATCCAAATAGAATCGTATTTATCAAGACACGTTTGTATCTTATAATAGTGATAACAAAATCAACCACTATCTATATTAGTACTTCATTTGTAATCGTAGAAATTATTCAGAAACACAGAGGTTTTTTTTTTACTTGTTTAGCCCTTCCAGATTTTTGCAAGTAATGCCTTTTGCGTGATTCTTCCCTTTTTCTTAGTTTTTCAGCTATGGATTCATTTTGTAATAATAATAATATTATTATGATTATTAAATTTTAACTAATTAACACAGTTCTCCCTTTATTAAAAAGTCAAGCTTACGGTCGTTGTGCCTTTTAGAAATCCCCATAATGAAATTCAGTTGCTTAATCGTATGGAATTACCTCAGGACGCGACAGGTAGAAAATCAAAAAAAAATTCAATCAAGGTTTGTCACACAAACCACATATAGCAAATCAAAATAGAGATTAAACCTAACTTTTAGAAGTTTGATATTTTATTGTTATCAATAATATGGCTTCTGCAGCTCTCAACGTATGTATAATTTTTTAGTTAATAATGACAATAAGTCAAATTTAATCTTTTATAATCTATATAAATAAAACAAGGTGGCACGCTGGTCAGCACTCGGATTAGGTATTTTGTATGGCTGGACACACCATCAATCACTTGTGCACGCCGAGAAAAAGCGAAAAGAAGAAGAAGCATATAAACATAAACAAGAGTTAATCGATAAAGCGAGGGCTGCTTATGCCGTGAAAATTAATGTTGGAAGCGATGGTATATTTTATATACATAAAAAGATATATATATCAATTATGTGGAGCTTGAATTGATTGATTATTTACTTTTGTAGTTATAAAAGACCCAAATGATCCACGATTCGATTTAGAGAAATTGCTCACGAATATTGAAAACTCAACTTAGCGATAAAGTGAAAAAAAAGGATCTTTAGTTGAAATATGTTTATTTCTTTAGAATAATACAGTCCCCGACGAAAAGAATGGCGGACGGATTTTTCGAAGATTACGCATATAATTTATTATTAACCAAACTTTATTTTTTTATATACAAAGACAAACACTAACGTTACGTTTTTTCTTATTGAATTGATATTCTGTGTGGCCTCCTTTAATCCCGGTCTCGCATGCTATCGATGCATCGAAATAACACATCATTATCAAAATCGTGCTTAATTACACCGAGAAAAATCTCTTGCGAGATTTTTTATTTTTTGCCAACATATCTTTAACTTTCTTCAAAACAGTCCACACATTTTCGATAGCATTCATGTCTGGGTTGTATGAAGGCCAAGGGAGAACTCGTTTCGAAAGACGGTCTTCCAAGTCAGTTCGAACATTAAGCGAAGTATGTTTCGGGTCATTATCTTGTTGGAAGACCCACTTATCGCATCCGCATTATCATACACAGTCTAACAAAAAAACCGTAAAATATGAACATCGTTAAATTTGCTTTTTTTAACGCGATTCGAGACACACAACATGAATAAACTTAATATTTATTAACAATATTGTATTGTAAAAAAATAAATTACATCCAAATTTCTACATCTCAAATGTCCGACGCCAGTCCTTATGAAATAAAGGGGTATATAATGTTAGAAAACTGCATATACAGTCAAACCTCGTCACAATGGATTTCTTATCAATCCATTTTTTATTAATTAAAATACAGTAGCATTTCCGTCTCTATAAGTGCACACTCTCTATCTGCACACAATAACCCGGTCCCAAGCTTGGAACTTAGAACTTAGGAATAAGTGCACTCCCTCTATATTCTTCATGTACAAGAATGCATTGCTATGGAAGGAAATCATACGAAATATTAATATTTTATGTGCATAATGTTATAATTATATTTATAATAAAAATGTAATTTTTTTTGCGGTGATTATTAATTTTCGCTTTATTTTCAACCACCAGAACTGTATTCAAATAATATAACTTAATAAAGTATCTCGGTTTTGAACGATTGTATCAGTAAGAACGCGTCAATCATCACTGGGAACATTCAATTGATTGAATTGCGCGAGTTCGGTTTGGAGCTTACGCATATAAATAAATTTAATTAAAGCGTCCCAATATTTATCCATTGCCGCTAATTGTGCCTTGATAAACCGTTTTTTTTTATATATCGACATTGATATCACCCAACAGACTATTAAATACAAGCATGTTCAATCTCTCTCTCTCGTTAATTCGTTTGATTGAATATTGATGGATTCTCCTTCATAAACAAGACAAATGGATCATCGGCAACATTTCCAATTAATAGAAATTCCTTAAAATCCTCCAATAAGCTAGAGAACCAGTTTGAAACTTTATAATAACTATTTACAATTCGAGGTCTTACGAATGTTTCCAATCGATGAAAATTCGCTTTGTTTATATAATCCGCCGCCGGGCGTGTATATGGTAAACCCATGTGCATACGTGTCTTAACGCGTCTGAGAACACCTCCCGAATTTTGTTGAGAAGATGGAGCTTGATAATCGGAATTCTCTACTGTATCAAGCATCATTCGTCGTATTTCAGTTATATTAAGAAAGGATAGAAATTTATTACTAGTTGAATCTTCAGTCAGCAATTGTGGGTGAGAACTGTCAACTTTCAAACTATTCTTGTTGACTTCTTCGACTACTTCATGAACCATTGGCGAGGTACGACTACGTGAGTAAGGTGTTGAATTGGCATGAACGCGTGACCTCTTATGATACATTGCGCCACACGTTACATTATCATTAGTGTGTTGATTTTCTTTGACAAACGTTATAAGCTCCGTTTCCCAATACTTTGTAGAGTCTAGCATGTCTTTTTGTAGCTCAGTTAAACGGAAGTCAGAAGCCTTACAGTCAAATTCTATTGGCTTTGGTTCTGGCGGTAAACCCTCCCAGGGATTTCCCGGTGTTGCGTCGTTCATTCTTGTTCAAAAAACCAATGCCCGTGTGTACGTTAAACAAGTGACTTTCGGTTATAAGAAAGATATTTCAAATTCATTTATTTAAAATCCTCCCAGTATAAGAAAGGGTTGATATAAGAAAATTAGGACCCAACAAGAATAACAAATAACAAGAATCACGACGAAAAAATCATGTGACGTGATCAAAATGTTGGTCAGTCGCGTAATTTAAAGGTTGGAAATTGACCAAACCTCTTATTTAATCGGTCTTCAATAAAATGGCACTGAATAGCAGTGCCCCATCCTCCCCTTATCATGAGGAGCTAAGTGGTAAGCCTATACGCATTTAGTTGCACTATAATGTTCGCGCTATCATTTCATACGTATTTCTTTAAATTTGCCTCTTAAGAGGAAGTAAAACTGGAAAGAGCAGCTATCGAAGAAAGATTAATTAATGAAGAGTATAAAATATGGAAAAAGAATTCGCCTTTTCTATATGATTTGGTAATTACTCATGCTCTAGAATGGCCTTCGTTAACTTGCCAATGGTTTCGCGATGTTGAGAAGTAAGTGCATCGTAAATGCTCGAGTTTTTTCTTACTTGTTCCCTTGATTAAATTATTCATACTACAAGACCTGAAGGAAAAGATTATATGGTGCAACAACTATTAATTGGGACTCATACATCGGGTGACGATCAAAATTATCTGGAAATAGCACATGTTCAACTTCCAAGGGATGATATTAATGCAGATCCGAGGAAGTATGATGATGATAAAGGAGGTAAATTCAAGGCCTATTTTACCTCGCGTTTTCTTGATCTTAATATTAATTAGAATTCAATAATGTACCTCCTAACAGAAATTGGCGGGTATGGCGGGAATGCAGAAACCAGAGTTTCAGTTGTTCAAAGGATCAAGCATGATGGAGAAGTTAATCGTGCTCGATATATGCCCCAAAATCAAGATATTATCGCCACTAAAACAGTGAGTGGCGATGTTTACATTTTCGATCGAACCAAACATCTATTAAGACCTGTCGCAACCAGCATATGTTCTCCTGAACTCAGGCTAAAAGGACATACTAAGGAAGGGTTAAGTATTTTTTTTAAAACCTTTTGATTTCTCATGTGTCTAAATAATTGATAAATTAATTTGATATTAATGAACAGATATGGTTTAGCATGGAACCCGTTTAAGGAAGGTCATTTGTTAGACGCGTCGGAAGATATGACGATTTGTCATTGGTTTGTTTGTTGATATTATAATCATATGTAGTTATTATTATATTCTATTACTGTTACTTTACAAATCCATTTTATAGTAAATATTATATATTAACAGGGATATAACAGGATATACCAAAGACACACGTTCATTGGACCCATTTCGCGTTTATCGAGGTCACGAAGCTGTTGTTGAAGTGAGCAGTAAACAATTGTTACTATATATTTTAGCAATTAATTTTATTAATTATATACAATATAGGACGTTTCCTGGCATAGTCTGGATCAAAATATTTTTGGATCTGTTGGTGATGATCAAAAACTTCTTATGTAAGTTGTAAGTTCCCCTCATCAATTTGATTTTCAAATCATGATATAATTTTTTTGTAAAAAAAAAACAAATAATAGCTGGGATATACGTGCGGAAAGCACCGAAAAACCTCTACACACTGTTAATGCACACATGAGTGAAATTAATAGTCTGGCATTTAATCCAAAAAACGAATTTGTATTAGCCACGGGTGCAGGAGATAAGGTATATTACTCATTAATTCATTTTTTATTATCTTTAAAAAATTAACGTTTGAATATACCAGACTGTGAATCTCTGGGATCTTCGAAATCTTAAAATGAAATTACACGCCTTAGAAAATCATCAAGGTGAAGTAATTCAAGTTGCGTGGTCACCCTTTGAAGAGACTATATTGGCATCTGCCGCAGGAGATCGTAGAGTTATGATGTGGGATTTGAGTCGAATTGGCTCGGAACAAACGGCTGAAGATGCCGAAGATGGACCACCTGAATTGCTGGTGGGTATTAATTAACATAAAACTGCATAATTTATCATTATTAATAATTCGTTCGCACACCATTTAGTTTGTACATGGTGGACACACAAACAAGATTTCGGAATTCAGCTGGAATCCCCATACCCCTTGGGTGGTTGCAAGTGCAGCTGAAGATAATATAATTCAAGTGTGGCAACCTGTAAGTCATTAGTATTCCCATAGTTTTTTAACAAAATATATCTTGCATTTTTAATATTCTCAATTTCAAATTTAGGCACGAAATATTTACATTATTGATGAATCAGACATACCAACAGAAGAATTAGAAGACTGATAGAAAAAATTTAATCCTGTCTTCCTTTTTTACAATACTACTTAGACTTGTATCAGATAAATATAAGTGTTATCCAACCACTGCAATACACGTGTATATCTAATTATTTTGACTTTTTCTCATGCAATACATGTATTTATAATTGTATTAATTAACATGACAATATGTTCCAAATACAAGAAACCTGGAATCAAAGTTTTTTTAAATTTTCAGTTAATTGAACTTTTCATGTGAACAAATTATCACATATAAATCTTAATGTTTTCACAATGAATACATGTTAAAGAAAAATTCATGAGGATATCTTATATGCAAGATTATTTATGATGAAAATATTTTATTCTTCATTTAAGATACAAAAAAAAATATATGAGATTGTTATTTTATTTATTAACTATAAATATTTTTCTGATGTTGCGCGTCACGTGCTTTTAACTGTGATTATTTATCACGGGTTATAAAAAAATTAAGTTTTATTGATATTTGCTAAGAAGGTAAAAAAAATGCCTGCACTTTCAACTGATGGAGGGAAAGTGACTTTAAAAAGCAGGTTTTGATTAGAATTTTTAAAATTATGATCATTGCTTTATCGTTGTGCTTATCACTTGATGTTTGACCTTTGATATTCCCATATTTGAAATTAATTGTATGATTGACGGATATTTGATGAATTAAAATCAATAGCTTCAAAGTCTCAAAAAGCATTGAAGTAATTTATACGGGTGGTAAAGTTGCCATATCTCCAGATGAATCCTTGTTAATTACCACAAATGGCGAGGATATCGAAGTCACAAAGTTTGAGCAGAGAGAGCGAGTTTATCGATTGAAAGGGGTGTGTGAATGTTTGTTTTTTTTGGGGGAGTACATCATATTATGTATTAACGAGGAATCAATGAACATACTTGATTAATGACATCAACAGGATACAGAAATAATTACCACTTTCTCAATAACGCCTGATGGTAAATATATAATAAGTGCAAGTCGAAGTTTAACAATAAAAATATGGGATCTTAAAACTGGAAAAATTGTTCGTTCTTTCAAGGTAATAAAACATGAGAATAAAAAATTTTTTTTATTTTATATATAATATCAACTTTTTATTATTTAATTTATTTAGGCACACGAAGCACCAATAATAATAATGGATGTTGACATAACATCGACATTAGTCGCCACCGGGTCTGCCGATAGTACCGTAAAAGTATGGGACATTGCACGTGGTTATTGCACACATAATTTTCGTGGACATGGTGGAGTGATTAGCGCCTTGAAATTTCATCCGGATATAGCGAATAGAAAAATATTGGTTTCTGGTGCTGATGATTGTAAAATCTGTGTTTGGAATTTAGCGACGCGAAAGTGAGCATCGTTTGGAATTTTTGATTATTTATGATCTAGCAGTTGTTTATTGATTTTCGTGATAGTTGTATTGCAGTGTTGGAAAGTCATGTTAGTATGATTCGTGGGTTGGATTTCTCGCATGATGGTAATTTTCTTGTTAGCGGATCACGCGATAAAGTAGTTATTGTGTGGAATTTGGATAAGAAAAGCGTCGTAAACACTTTTCCTATTTATGAAGTTAGTGGATTTATTTTTCTGTATGCTGTTATCAAATTATACTGGTTTTTAATTTAATCTTTTTTACCACCAATATTTAGACCATTGAAACACTTGGAGTATTAGAGAAAGGCATAAGGTTTGACGATGAACAAAAACACAAAGAAGAGTTGTTTTATACAGGGGGCGATAAAGGTTTATTTTTTAAATTTCTTAATTTTTTAATAAATTATACTAATTTATATTTCTGCTGCACTTCCGGCAAAGGAATCATAAGAATATGGAGTTTAAATACAGGAAAATTGGTTAAATCACAAAAATCCGAATCAAACACATCTCAGAGTATTTCCGATATAATGTATGTAAATCATTCTTTCGCCAATAATAGTATTGTTATTTCTAAAACATATTGAACAATACAAAAACATTTTCACTGAAATAAATAATAGATATGTACGAAAAAGTGGATATCTTGCAGCAGTCACCCATGACCAAAACATACTAATCTACGAACTATGCAATAGCGGACTAAAGAGAATCAAACAAATTGTCGGATACAATGATGAAATAATTGATCTCACATACGTTGGAAAAGACGAATCATTACTTGCTATTGCGACAAACACCGAGCAAATTCGCGTGTACAATGTCGAGACATTTAATTGTGATATTATTTATGGACATGAAGATATCGTGTTTTGTCTGGACAAATCTCATGATGGAAGATTTTTTGTGTCTGGGTCAAAGGATAATACTGCTAAAGTGTGGGCAATTGATTTTTATGATGGCGAAAAAGGAGGCAGCAGTGAAAATAGATTTAAATGTGTAGGTGTATGTGTTGGCCATACTGAAGCTATTGGATCGGTTGCCATGTCGAAAAGATCCTTAAAATTTTGTATCACGGGAAGTCGTGACCGTACTGTTAAATGTTGGGATATATCGTTACTTGAGAATAAAGGTTTGTATGTGTGTGTATCTTTACCTGGAATATCGATTTACAAATTAGAATACGTTTAATAATTTTTTATGTATTGTTTCAGATTTCAAATCGTATGCTGAGAATACCAAACTGAAAGCACTGTTCACACATCAGGCACATGATAAAGACATTAATGCAATTTCAATATCATATAATGACAAATTATTCGCCAGTGCCTCACAAGATAAGACAGCCAAGGTTTGGTCAGTACAGGATGGATCACTCGTGGGAATTTGTAATGGTCATAGACGTGGTGTTTGGTCAGTGCAGTTTTCACCAGTTGATCATCAATTATTGGTTACGAGTTCAGGAGATAAGTCTATAAAAATTTGGTCTTTGTCGGATTTCTCATGTTTAAAGGTAATTGTATTATTAAATAGCTGATAGATTACTGAATTGTCTATTTATTCATCTGATAACTTCCTCAAAGACGTTTGAAGGCCACACGAATACGGTGCTACGAGTCTCATTTCTGACTTCCGGGCAACAATTAGTATCAACCGGATCAGATGGTCTTGTGAAACTCTGGACAATTAAAACCAACGAATGTGTCAACAATCTTGACAGTCATACCGAGAAAATATGGGCATTGGCTGTGAGTAAAGATGAAAAGTTTATAGTGACCGGTGGCGCAGATTCGGTCGTGAATTTCTGGCAGGATTGTACGGTTGAGGAGATGGAACAGCAATTGAAAGAAGAGCAAGAATTAATACTAAGGTCGATTAATTATTAAAATTTGGTTTAAATAGAACATAATTTTCAAATTCATTATTTCTTTCTGTTGAATAGAGAACAAGATCTGGCAAATTACTTGCAAAAAAAAGATTATAGAAATGCCATAATATTAGCAATGACACTCAGTCAACCATTCCGACTACTAAATCTATTTTCCGAAGTACTGAATAACCGAGGTAATGGCTTGATCCTTCATTAACGAATTATATTTTCTTTTTACATTAATATTATTATTCTTAATAGAAGACACAAAAAGCATCACAGGATCAATTTCGATCGATAATATAATTGCAACACTCACCACCGACCAACTAGAAAAACTACTCGGGTTTATTCGTGACTGGAACACAAACGCGCGACATTCACGAACAGCTCAGATTATTCTGAATGCTGTTCTCACCGCGAATTCATTGGAAAAGGTTATGGAAATAAAAGGAATAAAAGATGTATGTCAATTTTTTATTTCTATCTTTATGAAAAGGTACAATAATTACTAATATAATTATTAAATCAATGAATTCATATCTTTATTAGATTTTGGATGGTTTAATTCCATACACGGAACGTCATTTCCAACGTCTTGATCGCGCTATCACAGATTCGTTTATTATCGATTATACGTTAAATGCAATGGATTTGTGGAATCCATTGGCTGATCCTGTTTTATTGGAGCCCCCATTAACGACAGTAGCGGATTCGATGATGGATATTGATAATAATTCAAAGGAGCATGATAACGAGGACGAAGAAGGAAAGTATGATGATAGCGATAAGGAGAGTGATGAGGATGAAGAGAGTGATAAAGAGAGTGATGAGGTTGAAAAGGAAGAAAAAGAAGAATACAAGAATAATAATAAGGATGAAGATCAAGATGACGAAGAGAGTGATGAAGAGAGTGATGAAGGAAGTGAAGATGATGAAGAGAGTGATGTAGGAAGTGAAAATGATGAAGAGAGTGATGAAGGAAGTGATGAAGGGAGTGATAAAGGGAGTGATGAAGGGAGTGATGGAGGGAGTGATGAAAGGAGTGATGAAGGGAGTGATGGAGGGAGTGATGGAGGGAGTGATGAAGGGAGTGATGGAGGGAGTGATGGAGGGAGTGATGAAGGGAGTGATGAAGGGAGTGATGAAGGGAGTGATGAAGATGAAGAGAGTGATAAAAATAGAGAGAGTGATGAAGAAAGTGAGTAGGATGAAGAGAGTAATTAAAGAAGTGATAAAGGAAGTGATACAGTGCAGGTCACTTAGTCATCACACAAAAAAGCCTAGTTTTAAATTCTATCAGTGACTTTTTTTAGTAATTAAAAAAAATAAAAATGTATTTTTTGAGTCAGTTATCAAGTTTTGGCCGTATAGCATTATAGATAGTGCGGGCCAGAGTTAGAATTAATGCGAGTTCAATTAATAATTTTTACCATGAACGATTAAGTGTAAATTCGGTAAAATTATTGCCGTGGATATTCGATCAACATGTTTATAGAAGTTTCGCATACATAAAATTTATTGGATCTGATTTTTGTCGATTTAACATAAACAATCGTGTCTAGTTTGCAAGTGGATTTCTTTATTACGTTATAAGTATATTTTTTGCATTACATGAGTTGATTAGGATATGAATAAACTATTTATTCGCGTTATTACAAGTAAATTTTATTTAACTGACAATTAATGTGATATATGACGCAGTAATATGCACAAAAAATAAAAAATAGATAACACCCGGTTGAAAATACCAGTGTTGGCGAAGCTTCAGTAAAAATAAATCATAAAGTAAAACAGAAATAATAATACCGACCGTTATTTCGCTGTTTTTGGTTTTGGAATGTCTAGAATCGACAACCAATAATGCACACAATCGGATTCATTCTCATTGATTGCATCTTCTTTACCCATTTCTCCCTTCACAGATTGTCGCTCCTTGAGCAGTTTCTACAAGAAGTAAAAATTGTAATAGGCTCACATCCACATCTAGTAAAAAAGAAATACCTCTAAAAGGACGCCAATACTTGCAATCTTAAATAAATGCCACCGATCCGTATACGTCGTTAGAATTTTACACTTAAATATTTCATAAATCCCATAGTAAATCGATAGAACGCAAGAGGCGTGGGATTATCATATTCAAGCATCCATTTTAATCGCTCCTTTTCTTTGTCCTTGGCTTTTGGCATTCTCAAAATCGTAAAAAAAATAAAATAATTAAGTATTTCGTTGAACAGAGCCTATCAATCATTCCTTAAAATGGGGATGTCTTTCACTTAAGACCGGCCATCAACTGATGACTTGCCACTATTTATTGGCTTCCGACAGAACTAGAGATTCCAGTCTGCCCGCTGGCGCTTTTTCGTTCTTAACAGAGTCATTGAAAATCATTGACGGAGAAAAAAATTAGACTTACCGATGATATTGCGAAAAAATTTTTTAATTGATTAACTTTACAATGGTATAATAGTTGGAAATAATTACTAAAATATAGCTTTTTTCACTTTAAGTCTCTTACAACTGATATCGATAAGAGTGCATTCATAATTAGAAAATCTTTATTTGACAATAACTAACTCAAGAAATTATTATTAGAAAATGAGAAAGAAAATTAACAAAATTAACAAATACCTGTAGATGCTATATATGTGAATGAACTTATTAATAACCAATCTTGCAAGATAATAATTGATAGTGATACTGTAAATAATATAGTTACTTAATAATTTTTAAAGAAAATAGACTAAAAAATTCAGAGATCTAATATAATAAATCTGATTAATATTAATAGTCAGAAAGAAAAAATGCTTGAAGAAGTAATTGACTTATCAATTATTTTAGAAACTGAATTAATCAAGATTAAAATATTGATAACCATAAATAGTGATTATAATCTTATTCTAGAAAATAGTTGGACTTATATTTATAAGACAGTTATAAGCTAAATCAAAGACTTATTACAATTTGAAAATAAGAAAAAGCAAGTTGAAATATCTATAATCTATTTAAAAAAGTATTATAAAATTGAAAAGAAAAATAATTTATTTAATATTTATGAAGAAATAAAACTTAAAGTCTTTAACAATGATAATAAAGAAAAAATATCAGAATACGCTTATAAAATAAATGCTAACTTTGATCTAAGATATTCAAAATCAAAAGATCTCATTATTATATTACAAGAAATTGTGATGATAAATTTATATATTGTTATAATATAGATTTTTATATATATTTTATTAATATTAGTTATTTTATACCCGCATTTTTATTGGACAATT